AGTAGGTTCTTGATAAACGATATCCTTAACATAGCCCCACAAAAAAATCCAATTTGGTTAAGTCAGAGGTGATCTAGGCGAAAAGAATTTTTTTCGATATTTCATCCTGATGACAGTCGAATGCGAAAAAAATTATATTTTTTTAAATAGTTTTAGTTTCAGGAGTGAATATTGGGCATCTCCTCCCCATTTCCAAGAAATTATTCATTAAAATTATCATTGATGTCATAAATAATTGTTTTCTTGATATTTCATCCTGATCGACAGTCGAATATGCGAAAGAGTTATTCATATGATTATTTGAAATAATATCAGTTTTGGGGGTGGATGGAGCATCACATCCCCATTCCCAAGAAACAATTCCTGAAAATAATGATAGATGATATAATGACATATAGGTCGCGTGCAAGAACTGTCAGATAACCGACCCTGGAGGCAAAACATATTTGTTTACAAGTGATCGAAATAGTTTTCCACAATTATTTTGGCATATGAATCGTATTTTTCCGCTATTCATCAATTCGCTCATGCCATCACATTGTGCTGTTGTGAAATGCACAAAAACTGCAGCAGAAGATGAAGAAATCCGGATGATACATTATGATTCAAAAGTAAGTACCTACTGTAGTCACTCACATAGTTTTCATTTTTGAAATTTGGTTATTTCTCTGATTTCTCATCGGAATTCCTTCTGCAATAGGATCAGCTAATAGAAATATACCTGAAATTTCTAGAATAATGCAAGAAGATTGGATTCATGCAATCAATCGGAAGGACTGGTCTGACATGCTGACGATCGTGTGTGTTGTAGACATTTTCAATCTATTAGCAGCATTAGCTTGTATTGCAGAAGTGGCAGAAGGCAGAAGGAATTTTAATAAGGAATGACAACATTTCATAATGCTAACTATGTGAGATTACTATTTACCTGAAAAATCATATTCCCTAGTCTCTTGCTGCATTTTTAGTGCATTGTACAACAGCACAATGCGAAGGCATGCTTGAATTAATGAATAACGCAAGAAACACGATTCGTATGCCTAAATATTGATATTGTGAAAAATTATTTCAACCTTTTGATTCCTCTGTAACCGAGTCTGTAACCAAATAAAAAAGTGAGGTTGTGTTTCAATAATTCACAGAAGAATGAGGTTGTGTTTCAATAATTTGCCTCCAGGGTCGGTCTTCTCGCATATTATATTATTATAGTTTTTTCAATATTTCATCCTGACAGTGCGCCACTGGACTCGGTTATCATCGCATATCGTACTGCCAGAAAATTTCAAATTTAGCAGCTGGACGCCGCCTAGCAGCCAAGTTCACACAGTGTTGTTCTTGTCATTACTTTTGTAATAGATCTATTACTGTTCCACAGAGATTGTTACGATATTACGATTTGTCATGAATCTATTACTATTTACTGATCTCTGCTGTTAGCCTTGAGGCCTCTAAATATGATGTTTTGTCAGAGATAAGTTACCAGACTTGTTACTGAAAAATCTATTTCTGTGTTCAGCGGATAATTATGTTCTGCTCTATGGTTCTACAGAGTGACCCATTTGAAAGCGGGCCACCCCTGTATCTCACGTAATCGTTGGGTAAGGATCATGAAATTTGCTGGAGTGAGAGGTATACCAAAAATGCACTCTATGACCAAGTGGGGTCATCTTCAGTGATATACACTGCTCGCCAACAGCCATGGAACCACCCCAATTTCCTGAAAATGATATTAGGAGTCAAAATAGGTTGAAAATCACTTCGGATTCGGAATCAGGACGCCCAATTCACTAACTATTCATATTTTTCCTTGAAAATTTTCAGTTCTGAAACAATAAATTTTGTCGCACTTTTCATGGAAGCACCCCCGTATCTCACGTAATTATTGAGGTAGGGTTCTGAAATTTGCAGGAGGAACGGAAAGTCCAAAGATAAAGTCAATTACGTGAGATACGGGGGTGCTTCCGTGAAAAGTGCGACAAAATTTAATTTTTCAGAACTGAAAATTTTCAAGGAAAAATATGAAGAGTTAGTGAATTGGGCGTCCTGATTCCGAATCCGAAGTGATTTTCAACCTATTTTGACTCCTAATATCATTTTCCGGAAATTAGGGTGGTTCCATGGCTGTTGGCGAGCAGTGTATATCACTGAAGATGACCCCACTTGGTCATAGAGTGCATTTTTGGTATATCTCTCGCTCCAGCAAATTTCATGATCCTTACCCAACGATTACGTGAGATACAGGGGTGGCCCGCTTTCAAATGGGTCACTCTGTATGTTCCATATTTATGTCTGTGACATCTGCCTCATTCCTGTCAAAACTGTCTAATTTGTGCGATATGGTTTGACAAGAATGACTTTCAGAATGTCAAATGTCAGATTTTTCGGATCTGTTACCTTTTGATACAAATCTGTTACCTTTTTCCAAGAAAATCTATTACGAAAAAATCAGACCCACTTAGTTCACGCGCATAGCGAGGCGTTACCTGCTGGATTGATCGGATTTCTTCGTCTCTCGCTGCATTATTTGTGCTTTGTACAACAGCACAATGTGATCGCATGCTTTAATCAATGAATTGCTGCTGAAACACGATTCCTATTCCAAAATATTTTCAGGTTGCATGACACCATGACGCGCAAATTGCGTTTTGCGTTTCGTCTTCTGATTGGTGAAGCAGAATCTGAATCTGAAATCAAACGTGAAATAAACTGAATAAAATATTAAAATCATCAAATGTCATTCTCGACAGAAAGGCAACGCGAGTTAATAGTTTTCAATTTTTAATCTTTCGAATTCTGAAGTTCTTAGAACTTGTTCTAGGGATGTATTTTTTCAAAATATGGTTGAGAATTCACAAAATTCTAGTTGCCTATTCAAATTAGGCTGTGTTAAGTCTGTATATTTTGACCCAAATGGCGCCTCATAGTATACATACGTACAGTTCGAAGTCTGACCAACCAGCTGTTTGGGAATATCGCTTACGTTTCAAAATTGCCCACAAAGTTACCACGTTAACTTTTGATGGGATTCGAGTCAGACAATTGACCAATCTGCTTCACCACTGTGGTTGAACTGAGGTTGAACAAAGGGTTGAACAGTAGGTATACCGGCTGAACGACGTGAGCAGTGGAGGTTAGAACACCAATATTTTCATCAGGATAAGTACGCTGAGGACTATGTTCGGATCATGAAGAAGAGTTCAAAGTTTAAAAAAGGTAGTGCATAAAGGCATGAAAATCCTTAAATAAAAACAAATTTAATGACGATCAATACAAGTTAATGAAAATGCGGTGTGCATAAATTCACCTTTAGTGCAAGGCTATTTGTGGTCAGTAATGTCAGTGATCACCTGAGCTGCGTTTCAAAAATGTGTCCAACGTCCGACAAAGGTTAAAAGATGACGTCAGGAGTATTAAGCAGGATCACGTCCGTTGATATCAATTTTGAAACGTGTATGCAAGAGGAGAGAGTATTATTATGTCTAACCTTTATTTCTTTGGAGCAGAAGTTTTGAAGTTTTGATATATTTTATTTTTCATTGAAATGAAGCAATAATGGAGATAGTTATATTTGGATCCTGCAGTTTCCTCTTTCATTGATTTTTTCACGATGACAGTAGTTTTTCTTCTTCGAACGAGGAAAAATAATGATATACAAAAGAATGCCAGAAGGATTTTTCAAAAATTCCAAATTGTTTCGAAAACATAATTCCACGAAACCAATTTCAGTCACATTTTTCTATGACTAGAACTTTCTTCGAAACTGAGTGAAGAACAATGCAAAACAGGAAGATAATAGATTAATGCTGAGAAACAAGTATTATCCGTTATTTGGTTACACCTAGGTACAATATTAATGTGACTTGATCAGCGAATTACATTTTCAATTATGAGAAGGAAAACTTCTTTCTTATATTCTATTGATTATTTATTTATTTATAATTATTTCAAAATCGAAATGGGGAACTTCACGATTCTTTACTGTGTTAACTCACTGGTTCTTGTTATGAAATCCTAAACCCTAACCTCAATCCGCAAAGCTTACAAAACCAAAACGCACAAAACGCTTGTCCGGCTTGCCAAACGTAGATTGGGTAAAATATACCTATCTCTCGGAGCAGTAGGAATAGGTGGAAGTCGGATGTTCTTCCTATTAAAATTGAAACGATATTTGGCATCAGATCTGTCGAGTAACTTCAGTAACTTCAACGGTATAAATTGGAACGACCTCTACTAAACGGTTGTAGGTCGGGTACAATTTTGAAACGCGCCTCTTGAGTGATGGCGGGTTCACATGACAGCTTTCGCCTATCGCGGAAAGCTTAAAACGAGCGCTCTATTCACACAAACTTTACACAAACTTCTGACAAAAGCGACAGTTGAGGAGACAAATTTCAAATTTGATAATCAAAATTATCAACAAGAAAATTGAATTATCATTGTTCATGGAATTTCGGGAATATATCCGTTTCGAATGACGTTTTTCACATATTCAAGTGAGTTCATCATCTACAATTATTGAACATCAATCAATAAATAACCAATTGAAATTACATAAAAAACAATACATCAAAAAGTAGGAAACAATACTAAGCAGTTGACAGAACTCAGTAATCTTCATTGATGACCGTGAATTCTACAGAAATGTTATTAACTACCTATAACTGGAAATTGTACCAACATTTCACTATTTTCCATATTTGAATATGACATATCTCACCACAGTTGACAACAACAACTAACCTGAAAAGATAAAACCATGAAATCGGAGCTTCTTTTAAACAAAAAGTCGGATCGTGATCGAGTTCTGGGCATATGACCTTGATACGCGCTTTCAAATAAATTGGCCCTTAGATAATTGGCCCTTTCTAAGAATTGGCCAATCAAATCACAATACGCCATAAGCAATGAGGCGAAAAGCCAGCATGTGAACGCGCCATGATCACAGAGTGTCACAGTCCCAACTCCCAAAAGACAATAGACATATGACAGTTGACAGAGTTGACAGATTGATAAGAATGTTTGGTTTGGTTGGTCTTGGTCCGACAGTTTGGTATTTTTGATAATAAGCGTGGTTTTCGGCCTTTTCGGGTTTTACAGACTGCTGATCTTTCTCGAATCCTGGTGAACAATTGAACATTCAACTTGAAGAAAGATGGTCAAACTCACTGCAGAAATAATACAAAACTCCATGCAGTATATCAACCCAGTGAAGGATAGGGAACTTGACTTGAGAGGTATTTTATTTTTCATATTTACCCACTCTATTATTTTGAATAGTAAATCTTTGTCGGGAAAATCTAATAGTATTTTTGTAATAGGCTACAGAATCCCAGAAATAGAGAACTTAGGAGCTACTGGTGATCAGTTTGATACAATAGATTTCTCAGACAATGATATAAGGAAGTTTGATGGCTTTCCATATCTAAAGAGGTTGAAATGCTTACTGATGAATAATAACCGCATTGTGTGAGTTTCCTTTAACAGTTTTCCTCATTTGTTGTTTCCTCTTGGCAAAATGGGGACTTGCTGGCTCAGCCTCCCTTACAATACAACTGTTGTTAACTCCTCTGATCTCATGTTAATTGTTTTTAGGCGCATAGGGGAGCATTTAGAAGAATATATTCCCAACATAGAAAGTCTTATTTTAACAGGAAATCAGATTGATGAACTAGGAGACATTGAACCGTTAGTTACCCTAGAAAACCTCACTACCTTAAGTTTAATGTTCAACCCTATTACAGCAAAACAGCACTACAGGTTGTTTGTAATTTATAAAATTCCTCAGTTGAAGTTGCTTGATTTTCGAAAAATTAAGATGAAAGAGCGTGAAGAAGCTAAGACTCTATTCAAGAGCAAGAAAGGAAAAGAAATACAGAAGGAAATTGCTAAAAAGTCAAACACATTTGTACCTGGAGGCAATATGAATAGTGTAGCTAAAAGTCGAGGTGAATTCTAGAATTTTTGATGCTCATTTACTATCTGATTTATAATCATCATTCACAGGGTTAACAGATGAAGAAGTGAGGAAAATCAGAGAGGCCATCAATAAAGCCAGTTCTTTGGATGAGGTAGAAAGGCTTCAAAAACTCCTGCAATCTGGCCAAATTCCTGGAAATGAATTCAATAGAACTAATAATAGTAAGTTGATCAACTAGATTTCCATTTTGTCCTATATTCTGTCTACTTATGATGATATGAAATATTATAATGAAATATATGAACTTTGAAATGAAGAATTTAAGAATAATGATAGGAATTAGGAAAGTTTAAATGAAACAGCAATAATATTTATATATTATAAAGAATACTGACAATTGAATAAACTTTGGATGAATAAAATGGGTAGAATTGAATGTGAGAGATAAATTGAAAGAAAACCAACATATTTGAATGAAATCAAACCATGAATAAAATGAATAATATTTATTGCATTATGAAAATGATAAAATTCCCATAAATTTATTCTTGATGATGTACATACAATTAGACCAGCAGGTAGTGACGACTTTTTTGGCATGATTTCACCCAGTATTCCTATTGGAGGCTATCATTATGTATATACCTACTTTGATGTTAAAAAATGATATATGAACTAATCCTCTCAGGTTCTTCATGCATTAAAGTCGATTAAAGTTAATTAACATTATCATCAAGCCTTTCATTATGATTTCAGTCAAGCTGCCTGTGTTACAAAATGAAATATAAGTGATAACTGACTGGCCTGCTTGACGGTTGGTGTACCTAAGGGAGTACCCATTTAAAAAAAATAGACATTTGTTGCCGTTCTTCTGAGCTATACCCATATCTACAGTACATTTATTTTGTTATTTTCACAAATTGTTTGTGCTTACCTGTAGCTACTATTATACAGGGTGAATCTGAAAGTGAGGTTTGTCATTCAACAGGCATTTCAAGGTTTTGTACAGTAAGAGTCTAATTTCATTAATCCAACATTTATTAGGGAAAATATGATAGAAAAATCACTAAAATGAAAATTAATTGGTAGAAAATGTGAAAAGAGGTATTTGATTTATTTGATTAGTTTATCTGATGAAATAATGCAACTGTAGGGTGTCTATCTAATGCTGGACTAATAATAGCTTTTTTGTGTTTTTTTGAGAAAATGTAAACATCATTTTTTATACATTATTCCAAATTTTTTGGGATTTTCTCTCTTCGTTTCTATAAAATAAAAATATGAATATTATTTCAATATACGTGTAGTAAGGACAAATCAGATGATTTGCCCCAAAATGTCACTGTGTTTAGAGGAAAATTCTTTATATATTTTTATTTTATAGAAACGAGGAGAGAAAATCCCAAAAAATTTGGAATAATGAATGTACCACCTCCTCGATTAACCTACAGACAGTATCATTTTTTATAGTTGGTATCTTCTCTGAACATTTTAATACCTGTACCTTGTTTTCTCAGATATTTTATAGAAGCAACATCTTGCCAAACAACTTATTTCAGAGAGATATAATATATCCTGTTAAAAAGAAAACATCACTCTCAGATTCACCCTGTATACTTACACCTATTTTAATTCTCGTACTGACAGCAGCGCCACCTACCGCGTCCAATTGTATTTTCAAATCATCCAGGAAACCATCTATATACCCATATAAAATTTCAACTGAGATTTAAATCCAATCGTCTCAGCCATTTAGAAGTTATGTGTAAAAGTTAAGTAGGGAAGGATAATTCTTACTGCCTGTTGTCCTAGTAGACATTTTCCCATAGGAATGAAGCGTTTTCCCGCGTAAAAAGTAGCCAATGTTCATCAGGGACAATGCCGGCTTCTATACAATATTCTATTCAATACAAACAAACAATCAAACCCTTCCTCTTTATAATAGTATAGATATGCATAGTTGACCGGCAAAAGCATAATCTTTGTATAAGCCCAAAAGCTAATCAGAGCCAGGTGTAGTTGCATTTAAATCAAGAATTTTTCCTCATTTTCAAACGGGCTGCCTTTAATAAGTATTCAAGTTTGTGCTATACATATGCTACGGAAAAAATTATATACCATATTATTATATAATTTCATATATAATTTTTCAACATCAAAATATATACATAATGATACCCTCCAGAAGGCATACTGGGTGAGATCACGTCCGAAAATCTGGCACTACCTGCTGGTCTAAATCAACAGTCATTCAATCAAAACCATTTGGTCTACTTCTAGTATAAATTGGATAGAACGAACATATGCTTGGTTCTTCAGCCATTTGTATTACCTATATGAAGAAGTGTCATATAATATTGGTGGTGTTCCACATTCCAGGGTGTGTCCGTTTCACCTAAAATCCATTTCAATCTTATCACTGGAATGTACATACAGTAAATAAGGCACAAAAAATTCTATTACTTCTTCATATGGCATTCTTCTAAAAAATGCATCATTGGAAAGATATTCTTACTTTTAGTGAGATAGTAAAACCACTTTTTAGATTTTTTATTTTCTGTTCAATCCCACATATTTATTTTGCTTGATTTTTTGGGATTTTCTCCTCGTTTCTATAAAATTAAAATATGCGTATTATTTCAATATATTTGTTGTGGGACAAATCAGATGATTTGCCCCAAAATGTCACTGCGGTTAAAAAATTTCTCTATCAGGGAGCCTAAAAAAACAAATTCAATAGCTTGTCCTGATACTGTGTTTGAAAAAATGTTTCAAGGAAAGAAATATAGATATATTGATAAAATATCGGATTTTTACTTATCTTTGGACGTTTCGGGAACAAATCTGCGCCACTGAACTATTTTCGATGTTATAATGATGTGATATGTCTATGTCATAAATGTCATTGACTGATAACATTTCGATTTTTTTTTTATGAAATTTCAAATACTTATTTCGACATCACTTATTAATTTGACTGCTGAATTCGAAAATAGTTCAGTGGCACAAAGTAGATGTTAGACAAAGAAAGTATCATCGGAACTCTCTATATTTCAATGCGGCCACGTTGGTAGCAGCAAGAGAAAAATAGAAGAGGAGAGAACTTTCCTCTCTCTCGTTCGAGGTAGAAAAGAGCTCAATTTATGTTTATGACTAGGTCACTTATTAGGTGCTTCCTTGATCCATATGACATTCTTTCAATATCCTGAAATATATAGCATCTATTATGCTTATCAAGGTTGGTAGAACTAACTGTTGATTATTTGTAGAAGAATGTTTCCTGGATCAGAAGGCGCGGTGAGGGAAAGTGGTAATTTGTGACGTAATCGTATACATGTTGGGTCCATAGAAATGTATGTACAATTCTAACAACACACAACTGGATTGGTAAATCTACTTGAACACATAGCGAATTCCATTGGCAGGAACTGGTGGAGTGTTTCTCAACTGAGTGTATTTTTTATTTACCTCTGTTTAACACATGCAAGTTAGAACATTGAGTTCAGAAACACTCCACCAGTTCCTACCAATGGACAATTCCCACAACTTCGAAATTGAGCAATCAAAGGAATAACAGTATGAAAATAGAACTTTCCCTCACTGTGTTTTATGATCCAGGCAATCTTCCTATGCATATTATCATCTGTTATACCAACCTTGGAACTCAGAAGATTTCATTGACATACCCTGAGTAATTATCATTTGTAGTAGGGAATAAAAATAGATTTGATTATTTCAGGACAACAGAATGGAAATTCGATGGAGTATGAATGATGACATGATGGGTAAGAAATCAACTGGGAGTTTTTGAAGGTTTTGAATCAAAAAAGTTTAATTTAGAGTATGTAATGTTATGTTGAAATTATTATTTGATAATTAAGATGATAAGAACAATGTACGATTCTGCTGATTACTAATGATTCCAATAAATGTTTTTCCTGAGGTTGAGAAGCGATACTACCACTCAAATAAACTGAAATATTTGTAACATTTCGCGTTTGTATTCCCAATTTTTCTTTGACATTATGGGTTTTTGGGTAGAGGGAAGTTAATTAGCACTACACATTTTCCAGTTGTATTTCAGAAAGCGTAAATTCAATTTCTGGAAAGTCACTTGTATCTCAGAAAGTATCAATTATTCTATTTTAGAATAGTCAATTCATTTTCAGAAAACGTCAATAACTTATAATAATTCTCTTCATTCTTATATCCTTAATCAGGACAGAACAAACAGAACTGTTTTTGAAACAAAATTTATAGAAGATATATTTGCTAGGTAAGTACATAAATTACAAAGCCTACTTCTGATCAATCAATCAATCAAAATATGCTTTATTATCAAAGAATAATATCTTATTGACAAAGCGTGTATATATAAATGTAAATTAAATTAATAACATTTGATAAATGTATAAAAATAGTCACTATCATATAAAATTGATTTTAATCAAAACAGTCCCATATTGAAAGTCGCATGCATACACATGCATAAATATGTAAACAGTCATATACACTTTTTTTTAAACATGGAATTTCATAAAAATCATTTGAAATCCAAAACTTCAAAAATTGAAAGTTTAAAAAATATACAAATGCTAAAATTTAAAAATCCTCAAAATTAAAAAAATTGGAAATTTCAAAATATTTAAAATTCAAAATAAAACAAACAGAAGGTATATAATATCACAGTGTATAGTTTTGGTCTACTTATCACTCTATTCTATCCTCATAATATTCTTCCAAACTATAATAGGCTCTATCGGAAAGAACTCTTTTTTTTACTGCTTTTCTGAACCTGGCGTTGGACGGTATATCTTTAATATTATTTGGAAGGTGATTGTACATTTTGCAGCCGTTATATATAATTTAATCCTTAACGAGAGTGGAGGATGGTAATGGTAGTTTGAGATGGTTACTTCGACGGGTGGCGGATGTTTGATTCTATATACTTTTGATGATTGCTTTGGTGCACCAACTTTTAATGCCCTAATATGAACATAATAACATCCATCATTTTAAACGAAACTATCTACCCTACCTAATAAAGTTTTTCTCCTGGTGTAACCAATCTGCAAAGTAACCAAGCTTGGTCTTTTAATATAGAAATCCACTGACCTGGTATTCCATAGATAAATGTATGTATGTGTGACCACAATACTACTCATGGGTTCAGGAACGATATAGGTAGTATACTCCCTGCTGCTTCCTGCTTTACTTGTGAAAAACCCAGCGGGGGTTCAGGAACGATATAGTATACTTCCTGCTGCTTCCTGCTTCACTTGTGAAAAGCCCAGCACTCGCTGTCTGGTATTTCTCTAATCCGGCGTAATCCGGTACCGCTGGTGTGAACAGCAAACACTTATGCCGTCTATATTTTCCTTCCTTCGGAAAATCTCTCCTTACCTGTGTACTGTCTCCGTGACAACCTCCTTTCTTTTCATTTCTCCATACCTAGCTACTATTCTGATCTATCATTTGATTTAACATATTCTTGAACGGTGTTTATCAATTTCAGAACATTGAATGATATAAATTTACCTACGGCCACTATAGAAAGTAAGCAGGTACACACGAGTTACAGCCACAGTAAGTAGCTCTTTACGCACAGTAAGCACATCGCACAGTTTTCGTTTATTCCGCCAGTATAGGTATGGCATGATCGCGCAATCGCCGTCAACAGCGGATGACATAACTGCCAAGAATTATAATTCAAACTGTTTGTCCAGACTTTTTTGATGTACTATATGGCAGTAGGTAAAGTATAGTACATAATGCGTGTTGTAAAGCAATAACGCACTCATGGAATTACGGAGTTGCCGCTCCGCGGCTACGTACGTAACTTTTCCATTCAACACATATCACGTAATATACTAACGTATATACAACTATATACTATATTGCAAACTATATTTCAGAATAGTTAATTGAAGTACAAAAAACTTCAATAATTGTATTTAAAATAATGTTTTCTGAAATACAACTGGGACCTACTGGAATTTAATTGACTATTCCGGAATACGATTGATGCTTTCTGAAATTGAATGGACTTTTCTGAAATACAATTGACGCTTTTTGAAATACAACTGGAAAAGGTGTATACATTATTTTTCTAATAGAACTTAATCATGAAAAGAATAAAATGAGTAGTTGTCAATTTTTCTAGAAAATCTTGAATGACTCAGAAACGGTTCATTTTGGGTATAGGAGTATGATATATGAATTAGAATCAGATTCATGAGAATAATTCAAAAATGTTATGAAACAGGTATCGGTTGTCCCATTGAAAATAACAAATATGACGGCACTTCCGCAATAACGAGAATATTTCAGTTGAATTCTTTGTTTCTTTCAGAACCTTGCTACTTTTGGTTCTCCATATACCAGGTTATTCACGTTATTCGACACGAAGCATTTTGGAATTTTTTCTTCATGAAAAACGAAATTATTGGTCATATTGAATGTTATTTTGCCGTTTTATTTATCACTTCTGGTATTTTAGTTACAGTATTCTTGAGAATCTAATACAATCCATTGAACCGCACCATTCATTCTTCAATGTGTTATAATAATGAAAGCATTCTATAGCTATAAAGCCATCAAACAATTGAAGGGCTTTCGTGGAACAATGACAAGTCACACAAGAGTTCAAAATGAGTTACTGCTCTTCTTGGTTGAAGCAATGGTATATCAAGTTATAGTTAGTTATTGTGTATAATTATTATTATATTAGACACTATAAAATTACTACGGGCCTTCGTTAATGAATAGCGCGAAAAACCTATGGTCACACTATTGCATAGGTCTATATTTTTCTCTCCAAAATGGCCGACACGAGTGAAAGCTGTTTCGATAATGCTGTGAATTCTCACGATTCTATCAAGAAAAATAGTGAAGTTGAGTTGACATTCAATGACAGTGACGGTGACCCTAACTTTGAACTTACTTTGAACCTAGAAGTGACTAAAGTTATGAATACACAGCAGTATGTATTTTTTCCCAAAGGTGGCTTGTCACATTATTATCTTTCAAAAATAAATCATAATAAAGTATTGTTAAAGTAGCATGTCACGTGGCTTGTTATACGACGCTATACATAATGGAGTATACTACGGCCTTGCCAAAAATGCTATCTCGGAAACTAAGCGAGATAGAGGTAAAGTTACTTTGGACAAGATGATCCCCATCGAATTTTGAGCAACTTTGGTTTTTGTGTGTGGTCTGTCTGTCTGTCTGTCTGTCTGTCTGTACTCTGTGGTAATCATAAATCGATATATCTCCGGAACCCTTTGACATATCGACTTGAAATTTTGCCATCTTATTGTACTCAAAACAATATTATGTCATTAAAATATGAAGGAAATCGGAAAACTCTAAGGTGGTTTTTCCGGGTGTTTTCGATTTTTCACCGGAAGTTTCTTGTGACCACTCTACAAATCGAAAAAGTGGTCGGATCGATTTCATTTTTTGTGAAAAAAAAAACTATCAGGGATAGACGAAGCCTATTGAAATTGAGCAGGGTCAGGAAATTCCAAGTGGGTTTTTCAAGGAGATTTTCCGAAACACACGGTTCGCTTTAAAACGACATATCTCCTGAACCAATAGACTAAATCCAAATTTGAAAAATGCACCGTATGCCTCTTTGATGACGCAACAAATTATTATTTTACCATTTTTTCGTGCATCCATCGGAAAATGGAAAAACAAATGAAAATCAAAACATCAAAATTTGAAATCCTTTCAATTCAATATATATCGAAAACAAATGAAAAAATCGAAAATCATCAGGAGTGCAAAGTTATCCACTGAAACATTTCCTACAAATTATTACCCAAAATTTTTTCTGTAAACCCAATAGTACAGGAAATAAGGTGAAAAATGTGAAAAAAAAATTTGAACGACTTATAGGGTACCATGAAAATATATAGAAAAACAAAGATTATCGATAGATGAAGCTCATCGACTTCCACGGAATCATGAAATATTTTTTTCCTTTTGTTGATTGGAAGATGGAACAAAAGTGTGGAAAATTTTATTCTCAGATGATTCCAAATATCTCGAAAACAACTGGAAATATCTAAAAATGTTATAGAACCAAAATTATTCCTTTTGATAGAATCTACAAAAAATCCTTATAACATTTTTCTCTGAATTCAATAGTTCGGGAGATACGATGAAAAAACTAAAAAATTTACAAGTTCCTAGATAATCACTTGCCAATTTGAAACGAAACAAAAAACAGAAGAAAGTAAAAAAAGCACACTCGGCTGTCATGATTTTTTCCCCATGAACTACTTTCCTAGCTCACTCGACTGTCTTTATTTTTCGCCATAAACTAGGTACCTAGCTCACTCGACTGTCTTGATTTTTTGCCCATAAACTACGTACCTAGCTCACTCGACTGTCTTGATTTTTTGACCATAAACTACGTACCTAGCTCACTCGACTGTCTTGATTTTCCACAAAGAAGAAATATGTTGGCAAAGTTTTAACTTTCTTTTGTTTTTGTTTTTTCAGTCCTTATTGGCAGTCGAGTGGGCTAGGTACGTAGTTTGTGTGGAAAAACCAAGACAGTCGAGTGGGCTAAGTACGTAGTTTGTGGGAAAAATCTCCAGTTCTCTGAACTTTCATAGCGTCGTATACACATCTTTGGTGCCCAATGATAGTTTCAATATAAAAATATGCTCATGATATGGTGCCATGGCCTCTACTTTCATCTTACATGAGCAATGATAAAATATCATCTGCTTTTATAGCGTCGTATAAATTATCTGACCTCTATCTATACTAATCTAATACCTAATGAAAACTACATCTATACTAATCTGATACCTTTCAGAAACTACGGACCTCACTTGTTATATTATTGCGATTTGTTTTAGGTGAATGAATGAAAAGAAGGAGAACGAAAAAATAGCAACAAGACAATGAAATTTAGGGCAATAATGTGTAGGATTTTGGGTAATCATTCTAAATGTGATGATGAAACTAGCAAATTTTTTTCAAATATTTCAATGAAAAAAATCTTGCTATAGTCCCATAGGGCTTGACACATCGACCTATATAAGACTGAAACCATTGAAGTTGTTACTGGATTATATATAGTATTTAAACATTCTAAGTCAAATATCTCATTTTCACTTTTCTGAGATCGAATGATAAGGAAGGGGGAAATTGAGTTGAACAAATATATTTATTCATAAAGTATAGGTATTCAAAATATAAAGTACATTTCAGGTTTGGGTCAATGATTAGGTAAATTCATAAAAACACATTAAATAGTTGAAATTGAGCAATAAAATAATGCAATATATCACACTTAACTCATGGTAATAAATAAATCATTTAAATAATATCAATTACTGATCACAACCTTTTTACTTTTTTGGAAAACAATCATTCTATGCAACCCAAACAACTTCCCAAATAATAAAGAGTAGGGCAAATGTCAGGATGTGTCATTAGGGCTGTTGTATCAGGTCTTTTTTCTGGATCAGAATGCATCATCATATCAATAATTTCCTGCATTTGCTTACCATAGATGACTGTATTGACTGGTTTTTTCTTTCCACTGGCGATCGATAGTACAACATTAGACATCTGAAAAAATGAAAGCAATACAAAGTTGATTATCAATTATGAGGATGGCCCTTAGAAAATGTGACGTGTGAGTCGTAGGTGATGATATTGTAGATGTATGAAATGCTCGGACTGTTGGATAAGTTAATTGCAATTTCGAAGAAGACTAATCTTTACCTATTTGCACTTTGTCCTTTCAAGCGTCTCTGAATAGAATCTAAGAGTATCAGGGAATGTTTGGTTGCTTATCGAACCACATATTATGTGGGAACAGTTTCCTAAAACCAAAACGGGACTATGTGGAAAATGAGGGTACCAAGCATTGGTATATTAGTTCGGCTTTTCAGAGAAAATGCAGGCTTGAGTTTTGGCGAAATTGAATTGAACCACGTTGTTTGTTTCAAAGATTAATTTTAGCAACATCCTCATATTGACAGCGTTGACCTGCCTTTGTCGTGGGTTCCTACTTTCTGAGGAAATGGGCATTCCGGAAGAAACGCAGTATAGAGTACAGTAATGTGCAAAGCTGTCGATAGGGCAGATGGTTACTCCAAATTTACTTTCGAGGTACTTATTTCACACCCTGTATTATGTTTTTACAATGTTAGTTATTCTTACCGTTCCACTGAACATTTTTTCCATTTCGCATAGTTCATATAATATGCAACCTAGAGACCAAATGTCTGATTTACTGTTGTAGGATTTCCCATCACATAGTTCTGGTGCTAAATAGTTACATGTTCCTATTACGGTCTTCGCCATGTTCTCACTAAAAAAAAGATCAATATCTCAAACTGAAATAAGTTGTTGAAGTAATATTTTTGTCATGTTCACAAAATCTCTTGGATATTTGTGATTGACGATGACAGTCAATAGTCCATATTACGAGTCTATACATCCATGATAATACTCCTGACTTCTTGTAAATGGATGTTGACACAATTTGCCATGTTGCAGATATTTTCGCAAAATTGTGCAATTTTGCGGATAGTCTGGTTCAATAAAATAGATCACATACCAGTCAGGTTGGCCGAGCGGTCTAAGGCGCCAGATTTAAGCTCTGGTTCTCGAAAGGGAGCGTGGGTTCGAACCCCACACCTGACATATTTTTGCTTTTTTACACTAATAATCGATTGTCTTCATAGTATGTGACATAGAACATCACACGTATAATCAAATTATTGATTCCACTTCTGATTCAGATAGTTTTAGAGGACCTAACACGATATGGCACAATATTGCACAATGTTGCACAATAGTGCCCATTGCCCAATGTGGCACAATATTGCACATTATTTTGCAATATGGTGCAATCGCTAGGATACTTGAATTTGGAATATGGATGATCGAATATCAGTCAGGTTGGCCGAGCGGTCTAAGGCGCCAGATTTAAGCTCTGGTTCTCGAAAGGGAGCGTGGGTTCGAACCCCACACCTGACATATTTTTGCTTTTTTACACTAATAATCGATTGTCTTCATACTATGTGACCTAAAACATCACACGTATAATCAAATAATTGATTCCACTTCTGATTCGGATAGTTTTACAGGACCTTACACGATATGGCACAATATTGCAGAATGTTGCACAATAGTGCGCATTTCTCAATATTGCACATCATTTTGCAATATTGTGCAATCGCTAGGATACTTGAATTTGGAATATGAATGATCGAATATCAGTCAGGTTGGCCGAGCGGTCTAAAGGCGCCAGATTTAAGCTCTGGTTCTCGAAAGGGAGCGTGGGTTCGAACCCCACACCTGACATATTTTTGCTTTTTTACACTAATAATCGATTGTCTTCATAGTATGTGACATAGAACATCACACGTATAATCAAATTATTGATTCCACTTCTGATTCAGATAGTTTTAGAGGACCTAACACGATATGGCACAATATTGCACAATGTTGCACAATAGTGCCCATTGCCCAATGTGGCACAATATTGCACATTATTTTGCAATATGGTGCAATCGCTAGGATACTTGAATTTGGAATATGGATGATCGAATATCAGTCAGGTTGGCCGAGCGGTCTAAGGCGCCAGATTTAAGCTCTGGTTCTCGAAAGGGAGCGTGGGTTCGAACCCCACACCTGACATATTTTTGCTTTTTTACACTAATAATCGATTGTCTTCATACTATGTGACCTAAAACATCACACGTATAATCAAATAATTGATTCCACTTCTGATTCGGATAGTTTTACAGGACCTTACACGATATGGCACAATATTGCAGAATGTTGCACAATAGTGCGCATTTCTCAATATTGCACATCATTTTGCAATATTGTGCAATCGCTAGGATACTTGAATTTGGAATATGAATGATCGAATATCAGTCAGGTTGGCCGAGCGGTCTAAAGGCGCCAGATTTAAGCTCTGGTTCTCGAAAGGGAGCGTGGGTTCGAACCCCACACCTGACATATTTTTGCTTTTTTACACTAATAATCGATTGTCTTCATAGTATGTGACCTAAAACATCACACGTATAATCAAATAATTGATTCCACTTCTGATTCAGATAGTTTTACAGGACCTTACACGATATGGCACAATATTGCACAATGTTGCACAATAGTGCCCATTGCTCAATATTGCACATCATTTTGCAATATTGTGCAATCGCTAGGATACTTGAATTTGGAATATGAATGATCGAATATCAGTCAGGTTGGCCGAGCGGTCTAAGGCGCCAGATTTAAGCTCTGGTTCTCGAAAGGGAGCGTGGGTTCGAACCCCACACCTGACATATTTTTGCTTTTTTACACTAATAATCGATTGTCTTCATACTATGTGACCTAAAACATCACACGTATAATCAAATAATTGATTCCACTTCTGATTCGGATAGTTTTACAGGACCTTACACGATATGGCACAATATTGCAGAATGTTGCACAAGAGTGCCCATTGCTCAATATTGCACATCATTTTGCAATATTGTGCAATCGCTAGGATACTTGAATTTGGAATATGAATTATCGAATATCAGTCAGGTTGGCCGAGCGGTCTAAGGCGCCAGATTTAAGCTCTGGTTCTCGAAAGGGAGCGTGGGTTCGAACCCCACACCTGACATATTTTTGCTTTTTTACACTAATAATCGATTGTCTTCATAGTATGTGACATAGAACATCACACGTATAATCAAATTATTGATTCCACTTCTGATTCAGATAGTTTTAGAGGACCTAACACGATATGGCACAATATTGCAAAATGTTGCACAATAGTGCCCATTGCCCAATGTGGCACAATATTGCACATTATTTTGCAATATGGTGCAATCGCTAGGATACTTGAATTTGTAATATGGATGATCGAATATCAGTCAGGTTGGCCGAGCGGTCTAAGGCGCCAGATTTAAGCTCTGGTTCTCGAAAGGGAGCGTGGGTTCGAACCCCACACCTGACAAATTTTTGTTCTTTTTTCTTTAATCTTCATCACCAAGTGCGCATAGTGCATGTTAAAACTTCACACACGATAAGATTTCCACAAAATTCTCAAACACACGACATGTTTCGCTAACACAGTAGCTTCATCAGGTAATATACTGGTACAATGAACTTATCTTCATTTCACTGTACCATTATATCACCTGATGAAGCTACTGTGTTAGCGAAACATGTGTGTGTGAGAATTTGGTGGAAATCTGATCGTGTGTGAAGTTTTTACATTTGCCATAGATTGTTAGGAAATAGTCGTGTATTCACGAAGTGGGGATATAGATACACGAGTGTGTATCTCCATAAGTGTGTAATTGATTTACAACTCGAGAAATATACTTTAATTTCTCTTCGACTACACTACACTTTCTTCGTGTGTTAAGATACAAATATCGAATATGTCTCTGGTCACCTTAGATAGAAAGTGTACGATTTGAAAATCGTTTATTGGTAAAAGGCATACGAACCATTTCCCTCAATTTGAGCTGAAATGAAGCCGTGTTTCAAATCTTCAACAACTTCATCACTAACAAAAGAAACATTCGATAAACATATAATAGTATATTATGTAACAATAAGTGTTATTATCGTTATTTAAGTAACGAATATTTTGAGCATGAGTGCAGCGAGTGTCTTAGAAGAGTTTATAAACGCGTTACATACTATACTTTTTCTACGAACTCATAATTCCTTTTTTTGGCAAGAGCCCATAATTCCGAAAATTAGATTAATCTACTTTCTAACCTACAAAGTAATTGGAAGAGAATGGGAATTCAGAACATAATCGAACATAATACATAATACTATGGAACTGCACTCAACCAACCAAGTTATATTGGTTGTAGATGTGCGGGGTGCGTAGCGCGATGCCCAATTTCCACGATGCCCAATTCCCACGATGCCCAATTCCCACGATGCCCAATTCCTACGATGCCCACCTTCATGTCGACGATTACGAAGATTGCCGAAGAGCGCAACGTTGCCAGGTCGAGAGAAAAATTCAGAAAACACAAGATTCCCACCATTTCCACTTTTCATACATTCCCACGATGCCTAATTCCCACCATGCCCACCTTCTTTAGATTCCCACCATGGCCACCTCTCATGCATTCCCACGATGCCCAATTCCCATGATGCCCAATTCCCACCATGCCCACCTTCATTATGGTAGAAATCTAAAGAAGGTGGGCATGGTGGGAATCGAAAGAAGGTGGGCATGGTGGGAATAGGGCATCGTGGGAATGTATGAAAAGTGAGCATGGTGGGAATTGGGCATCGTGGGAATGTATGAAAAGTGGGCATGGTGGAAATCGAAAGAAGGTGGGCATGGTAGGAATTGGGCATCGTGGGAATCTATGAAAAGTGGGCATGGTGGAAATTGGGCATCGTGGGAATGTATGAAAAGTGGGCATGGTGGGAATCTAAAGAAGGTGTGCATGGTTGGAATTGGGCATCGTGAAATGTATGAAAAGTGGGCATGGTGGGAATTGGGCATCGTGGGAATATATGAGAAGTGGCCATGGTGGGAATCTTGTGTTTCCTGAATTTTTCTCTTGACCTGGCAACGTTGCGTTCTTCGGCAATTTTCGTAATCGTCCACATGAAGGTGGGCATCGTAGGAATTGGGCATCGTGGGAATTGGGCATCGTGGGAATTGGGCATCGTGGGAATTGGGCATCGTGGGATGCTCCCGATGTGCGTCCAGTCCATAGGATACATGGCTCTTGTTCACTGAGCTTTGTGAATAAGATTTCATCTGACGTATGACGTATAGTAGATGAGAACTCTTCGATTCGTTGAGGTGTCGAAGTCTTCGATTTCTCAGGTTTGTATCCATATTCTGATTGCATAATTTTGCTCACATGAATATTGTGTTTTACGTTAATTGTCATGCTTAGCATAGAATAAATAGCCCACAGAGATGAAAGCCTCCTTTTTACATCGGTTCAAAAATAAGTGAGGGGGGACATTTATGGTGAATCACCCTGTACAAATATTTCACGCCTTAAACCACTAATGAAATTACAAAACAAATCAATTAAACGCATTTTAATTTCATCTACATTTTCTAGAACCAACGGTAAATTTATACAAACCTAGACATTTTCTGAACCTGATTTCGTTATATCAACTCAAAATAATTATGTTGTTTCATTAATCTTGCCAGGAATAAATTGAAAATATCAATTGAATTACTTGATAGCAAATACATTCAAGTCGAACATTGGCAAACAATCTGTATTTCACAATGGAATAATTTTATACAATTCATTACCTCATGAGTTGAAAAATATACATGGTACAAGAAGGTTCAAAATCAATCCTAAAAAATACTTGCTCAGGACAATTTGAATGAGAAATATGTGGAATGATTTGATTACTAATAAATGAAATGTTAAAACTTTTATCTTAAGAAACAATATTAATTTCTTTCTACTGAGAGGAATTCATTAGTTAACCCTTCATTATATTTTTTTTCTTGGGGTAATAAAGACAATCAATCAATAGTAGTCGTAAGAAATCAACTATTCATATTCATATTACCACTTACTCTGTTTGTCAGATGATATTTCAAATTTTGAAATCGGTTCAAAAATAAGTGAGCTGGGGGAGGGGGGGGGGGGGAGCATTTATGGTGGATCACACTGTACATTTATTATGGACCAGTAACTAATAAAGAAAAGCAATTTTTCGAGGTGGAAGATAGCATCGATGATGATGGTGCGTGTTTTAGTTAAGTGGAAAAAATATACATGATGGTGATAATATACCGGGTGGCTACGGAAGTATTGCCTACTGAATATCTCAGTTATTGTATGAAGTAGGTTTGTGAAATTTGGAGCGTCGATATAATGACATAAGAACTAGAATTTGAGCGAATTGACATGTCGGAGTTAACTTCTGGTCTGACCGGAAGTAACATCAACTCTCTTATTTCAAATGAAAACCCTATTTTTTTTATTTTCGTTTTAGTCATCATTCAATTTTCTTTCTAATGACATATCACAAGTTGGTATCTAACCAGGAACTAGATCAGAAAAAAAAATATTGAAATTCACCGAGTAGGCCGTGGAAGCAGAATGAAAGCCAAAAATTGAAAAGTTGGCTATGGAAACCATACGTCACTTGATAACAGTTGCTACTACTGTGATATTTTATTTTCATTCGTCGGCGTTATAAAAAGCCGCCAAAAAAAATATTGGAAAAATTGGGAAAAAAACTATACTCTGTAGATTCATAACTTAATAGGAACATACAATTTTTTCTTGCCTGTACTATTCAGCATAACCATTCCTTTCTAATGATATAATAGAAAGTCATTTTTTGAAATGAAATACCAAAAAATCCAATTATTATTCTTCGAATAACAAAAAAACAGATTTATCGAAAAAAAAATTCAAATTGATAGAATACCAACTTGTCATATGTCATCAGAAAGGGAATTGAATGCTGAATAAAGCGAAAAGAAAAAAAATAGGGTTTCCATTCAAAATAAGAAAGTTGATGTTACTTCCGGCCAGACCGGAAGTTAACTCCGACATGAATATGCTCAAATTCTAGCTCTTATGTCATTATATCGACGCTTCAAATTTCACAAACCTACTTCATACAATAACTGAAATATTCCGTAGGCAATACTTCCGTAGCCACCCGGTATAGTTATTAACTTACTTTAGAAGAATTTTCGATATTCCAAAATCTCCAATTTTGATGACGTCCCCCTTCAATCCAGTAAGAAAAATATTTTCGCTCTTCAGATCACGGTGTATTACCTTTTTTCGATGGATATGGTCCAGGCCCATAAGAATTTGACAAAACAGGTCCATTACATACTGGAAGGTAAAACAAACATAGATATTCATGTTGAATTAGTTTAAGATACTTCAAAATACCAAAACACATTATTTTTGAAAACGAATATTCTCATATGTAAATAAGTATAAGAAGCTCAGAGTCATATTCACACAATGTTCATAAAATAAACAACAATGGTAGATTTCGGGAGAAAAACAATTACTTTCCTGGCTGATGCCATGCAGAACATTGTATTACATCCTCCCGAAATCTATGCATCGACTCTTATAAACGAATACTGATATAAGTGAATCTTTCCCGAATGCCTATTGATTTTGATTTAGCCAGGCCACGCTAGACACCTACAGACCGGTTTCGAGCTCTTTGACTCTCATAAGTGCAGAGTAGTCTCCAGCCAGCAGTCCTAAGACCGCCGACTAAGCGAAGCCTAGCCAAACAAAAATCAAGTCGGCATTATATTCCCCCAGAGGCGTCCTTCATAGACAATATGAAAGCAACGCCATCTGAGTAGAAACGAAGGAAAGGAACACTGCAAAACTGAAATTCCCATACGGGAGTGGCTGGTTGTCCGACTGGCGTCATTCATGAACATTGTGTGATATAACTTTGAGCTTGTTGTATTTATTTAACATTTCATTCCACTTTGAGCATTGTGGCTATTTCGTAGTTGATTCTCATATGTAATACCTACCACAAGTGATACTATTTTGCTGGAAATATTCAGCGATTGTTACGACAGCGTGAGCCTAATAATTTCGCCGAATGACATTGTTTATCAAAACTTTCGAGCCATAGGCGAGAAGTTTTGGAATAAAGTCATGTGCACAATTGAAGCAGCAAGCTGGAGTATGTCTATCGACGAATATTTCCAGGAAAAATACACTCAGTTCCAAAAAAGTGACGCACTTGATATTTGATCTATGTTCTTACAAAAAAACAAAAAATAGTAGGCCGATTTTTATTTTTTTTTATTTGTTGGTAGGTACTAGGTAATGCATTTGTCTTGAAAAAAAAGAGGTGAACATTTTTTCAAAGCCTCCTTGATGGTGGTGGAATAACTCGAACCATGATTTATTCTTAATTTTTGACCCCTGTGTGTTAATTGAGTAATGGCATAGGACGTGCTTGCACCCTATACGAAAGAGGCTTCTTTTGCGAGCATTTTGTTTTTTTATTCATTGATTTATCTCTAAAATATTCCTAATTACAGCTTTTTTTGCTGAATCCTTGCAGATTACCAACTTTCTGAATTTATCGATAAACAATTTTCTAATGAAATAAACTAATACCAATAATTTTAAAAAACATTTTTATTAAACACGAAATTATAAATTGGGATGACTGTTTAATACCGTGTTTTGCCTCCTCTAGCAACTCTAAGAACTTCTAATCTAAGAGGCATACTGGAAATTAAGTTGCTTATCGTTTTCATTGGTATACGAACCCATTCTTCAACTAATGCATCTGCCATTTATGCGAGGCTTTCCGGAGACCTCTCGCGAGAACGTACCCTTCTCCCTAATTCATCCCACAAATGTTCTATAGGATTCATATCGGGGCTTCTCGCAGGCCATTGTAATGTGGTAATACCAGTAGCTTATAAGAAGTTGCGCACTATTGCTGCGGTGTGTGGTCGGGCATTATCCTGCATCAATATAAAATTATTGCCCACTAACTCTGCATAAGGTAAGACATACTGATCTAAAATGTTGATATAAATTTGGGCATTCATCGACTGCCTCACCGGAAAAACATGAAGGGGTGTCTTTCCATTCATTGAAATCCCTCCCCACACCATAACGGACCCACCATTAAAACTTTCGCATTCTGTTATTAAATTTTGATTTAACCGTTCACCAGTTCTTCTCCACACTATTTTTCTTTCATCCACCATGTTAAGGCAAAACCTTGACTCATTCGTAAACAAGACATTCGACGATTCAGGAATATTCCACTGTCCATAATTTTCAACAAAATGTCTTCTAGCAGCACGATGTTCGGGCAATAATTTGGGACCTTTTGCAGGTCTCCTAGCTTTCAAGTTAACTTCTTTTTGACGTCTACATACCGTCTGCTTACTTACTGCAACATCACGAATTTTGCTGAACATTTACCGCAGTATTTGATCGATTCCGTGAAATCCGCAATCTCAAGAAGCGATCATCGCTTGGAGAAGTTTTTTGGGGGCGACCAGAACCGACCCTCCGAGCGGTGCTTCCTGTTTGTTCGTACTTGCGGATTGCTCTACGAGCAGTTGATTCATGAACAAATGCTCAAATATGGAGGCATACAACAAATTAGTTGCTATGGGAACGGCATTTGTTTTTTTAAAGTCAATGTGATCCTACCAGAGTACAACCAAATTAATTCTGAGTACTCTGATCCTTCAATAAATTTAATTTGTGGGATAAGCGTGAGGTATCAGCAAAAAAGCTGTTATTCGGAAAATTTTAGAGATAAATCAATGAATAAAAAAACAAAATGCTCTTTCGTATAGGGTGTAAGCACTTTGTATACCATTACTCAATTAACACACAGGGTGAGTCAAAAATTGAGAATAAATCATGGTTCCAGTTATTCCACCACCATCAAGGAGGCTTTGAAAAAATGTTCACCTCCTCCTTTTTTTTTATCGGCCTACTAATTTTTTTTTAAGAAGATAGGTCAAATATCAAGTGCGTCACTTTTTTTGGAACTGAGTGTAGTATAACAGTATAACGAGTTGTATTCGTATTAGTATTCCATGATTGAGATACAAGAAACCGGCCGGTGGCCGAAAAATAAAAATCGTTTTCACCTGTGGAGAGAAATGCTGTGGTCTTTCTTTTTCAATCAATTCTTGCAGTGTCCCTTTGGTGGCGTGTTCCATCAAGATGTAAAGCACCCCTTTTCGGAAGTAGCTGTCGTGAAATCTGATGATGTTTGGGTGATTCAAAGATTTCAAAATTGCAACTTCGTTCTTAGCTGCCTGCAGCTGTTTTCCTTCCAACTCGGTCACGATTTGTTTCATAACGATTTGTTGCTTGTTGTGGATTTTCTCGCATAGTTGGACAGTCCTATTTGTACAATTGTAAGTAATTATGAAACTTTTGTATGGGATAAAAAGTGAACAGTAACATTCACATGAAACGACTAACTCTCTGTTGTACTTAAACTCAAACAAATCAGAGAACGTGAAATTCCTGAACGTCTAGAAGCATACAGGACGTATACACTAAACTGTTTTACCACTAACGAAAATGAATCTTCAAATGCCTTCGCTTATACTATACAACTTATATCATCTTCAGGAGAAAATGCGAACTAAATAATGTCCTAAAATGCTGCTTGCCTATACACTAGCATAATTGAAGCTGACAGTGGAGTGAGATAATTAACAGTTTGTTGTAAAGGATAAAGGTCCTATTCCATGTAAAAGGCTGAAGAATGATACTTTTTTATTTCCTTTCCATTCATTAATATGGAAAATGTTTACACAGTTATGAATAAAGAGTTAGACTTTTACTGAAGTTTTCTCTGGCTTTCAGGATTCTGGGACGATTGTACAGTTATCACGTATATTTTGAATCCCCCCTTGACTTTTTTATTTATTGCAAATTTTTTTTTTTCAAGAATTGTTCTTTATAATTTATCCTGTATAGATTTCATCGAGGATTTCATACAGGGTGGCCCACTTATGCTCGCTCGGGCCATAGCTGCTAGGCTGATAGAGAAAGAAAAAAAATTTCATCGGAAGTTATTGGAGACTTCATAAGCTACTCTTCAAAATTATTTTCTAGTGTACAGGGTCCACCTTGAATCCGGGCTGGAAGAATCGATCGTTATTTCAAATGGCACACCCTGTATATTATTTCAATTTGTTTGAAATGTTAATAACTTAACAACGTCGCATCTGATCTTTGAAAACAAAATATTTTGTGAAGCCCACATGAGAGAGATTTCGAAAATTAAATAATATACAGGGTGTGCCATTTAAAAAAAACGATCGATTCTTTCACCCCGGATTCATGGTGCACCCTGTATACTAGAAAATGATTTTGAAGAGTAGCTTATGAAGTCTCCAATAACTTCCGATGATTTTTTTTTCTATCTCTTTCAGTCTAGCAGCTATGGTCGATGCTGACAGAAAAAAAGTTGAACATCTCAAGAAAAAGTTCTGGACGACTCATGGTCTAAATTTTCAAAAATAGTTCCTCATTTTTTTTTCTCAGGCCGTAGACACAGATTAACTACTTTCGCCTGCCTTCTGCTATTCAGTAAAGTCATATTTATTGAAAATTTGAATTGTAGCATTGAAAATGAAGGGTCTTCTGACCGAAACCAGAATGATTGTACGGCTGGTTTCCGTTTGTTGATTCCGTCGGTTTGTTGTTTCGTCTTCCACCAAGTGTTGCCTATACTTTGCACTTCTTTCACTGTACTGATGAGTGCCGGAAGCCCGAAACACGTGTCTGCGGTTAACTCTTCCTGAGGGCTAATCCAATCTTTTCCTAGTTTACTTAAAAAAGTTCTCTCAATATATCGATATATCGAATAAAGATATCATAAAAAATATCGTTATATCGATTATCGATAGATGTCGAATAACAAAATTATAAAATAAATCGATATTCATCTAAAGTTCGGTATGTATCGATATATCGAGATATTTTTTTGGTGATTCGTTATTCGATATATTGATATACAAGGTGTACCAGAACAACGTACCATGAATACTACAGGGTGAACTAGACACCAAAATAGACTGATCGAAATCAATTTACCTCTACGAAAATGCTCCGTTGAACTGTGAGAGGGCGATGAAGAATAATTCAATTCATAGATTTTCCTGAATATCAATCAAATTCCTTGAAACTTACTGCTCTAGAATTTGTGATTATATTCCGATATTTAAATGAACGACAAAATCAATTATGTAACTTGAGATATCAAACAAAATTCATTTTGGTGCATCTCCATACTTGTTTATTCTTAATGTCAGGGATTACCTATCATATTTTGAAAATTCCTACTTCATTTGTGTCGAGTTAATGACCACAATATTCATGTTCATTATTTCGCAAGCTCATCATCGTGTGATCTGGAAACTGGTCGTTTCCAAATTTTATTTCGTTTTCGAGAAAAAAAAATAATTTGAAGATTATCAACAACCTTATCATATGCTAAAGTAGTTATTACGCAATATGTGTTGTAAGAAGCATATTACGCACGAATGGAAAAGTTACCCACGTAGCCGCGTGCGTAATTGCTTTACAACAAGCATTACGTACTATACAGGGTGTCCCAAAATTAGCCAGCCAAACTTCACCACACTGAGAAAATAAATGAAAATTTGTATAACTAAATGCAATGGTGGTTTCGAAATAGTTTCATCAAACACAACATATATTCGTGATATCACTTATTTGAGTAATCAATACTTAGGCAAACTATTGCATACTCGATTGCATACCACCTCCGAATATCAATAGTTCAGATTATTATTCACCACTACATTGAATAACATGTTCGATATCCAGTAATTAATAAATATATCTTATGTAGTGGTATTAGGATTGTGTTGAATGTTACTCCCCTGATATTTCTATTTTCCACTACGTATTAGTGCGTACGGTGATAATAATAGGCGAGATAATAGGTTTATTTTTTGTGATGTACAAATTTACCACATCAGAGAGTAATATGCCGAAATCACGAGGCCGATCGTCGACGTTCGTTATTTCGATGCAGTTGGCTTGGCGTTGGCGTGGTCGTTTCATCAGTTTATAGTTCAATTTTCTTTGAGTTCGTCTCTTATGAATGAAATAAATTCCATTCGCCAATGGAGTTTTCATTAGCACTGCATGTGAATAGTGTAAGTATACCTGCTTACCTACAAACTGTGGTACTGTGAAGTGTGAACTGTACCTGATGATAGTGGTAACTCGAAGAGTTGTTACCGGTGTTCAACAGTAAGTACTATACCTATTCGTTTCATCTTGAAACTGAAATGGCAGGTGAACGTTGCAAGCATTATTGAGGAGAACGAGAAAATCTCAATCTGGTGCACACAAAAATCAAATTTACCCAATAATTCGATTTTTCTCTTATTCCCAACTTCATAAACTCAGATGACTATCTCTACTACCTACCTGATTATCATAACATATCTGCAAATTTTTGAGACTGTGATATTCTCCAGTTTTTTCTCCAAATAAGTATGTCCCTGACGGCGGTAGAAAAATATTGATTCAGAGTTTGAACAGACAAAAATGAACGAATCTATAAGTAGAAATCACTAGTTTGTAGAGGTGAATATGAATTGAATAAGTAGAGTATAAATTTATTGTTTGTAGTGGTAAATACGAACCGACGAGCAGTATAGTATTATTCACTCATTTGTAGTGGTGAATAATAACCGTACAAGTAGGGTCCCTAATAACTGGTGCTTCAGTATGTCATATTGCCTCAATCATAATATTTTGTAGTGGTTATAATATATTTGATGAATGTATAGTGACTGGCACCTATTTAACCACAACGCTTGGTATGGTATAGTGATCTTTATAGGTATTTACAACGGATAATTTCTCTCAGTGCAGAGGCTTCTCCGACCGAAAATAGTAAGAAAAGTTCCAATAAACATGAGTCAAGAAATTTCTCCTAAGGGAGCTACGGCCCCCTGGAAGGGGGGTTCCTGAAGGTGATATTCATTGAATATTTCCGAAACGCTACGTGATAAAATGATGCAATTTGGTACAAGAACTAAACTTTCCATGCCCAATGGTGAACATGAAATCATTTCAAAGTTTCATTCAGGCATGTATAATACAGGGTGGGACTGCTTTAAATATTAATCAAACTTTTTAGAATGCATATTTTTTGACAATTTGATCTCGGATTATGAAAATCCACACCGTTTCACATAAAGAAAGTGCTCTTGTTCCACATCGATCAGATGTATCATTTTCGAGTGAAATAGATTTTAAAATATTGATGAACTCACATCCTATGCATAATGTTGCCAATTTTCAAATCATAGTGGCTATAAAAAAATCAAGTACTTTTTTTTTACCAAACAATCCCATGAAAGTGCAAAAAATTTGAAAATGATGATGAAAAAACTACTTCAATTTCTGTGCATTTTTTTTTCATTTCCACTACGCCTCATTGCAATGATATGCATAATATCTAAGATGTAATAATATTTTCAAATTGCTTTTACTCGATAATAATACATCTGATCGTCATGAAACAGGAGTATCTTTAATTTGTAAAGAGGTGTGACATTTCATAATCCGAGATTAAATTGTCGAAAATCATGCACACAAAAAATTTTTAGCAATATTCAATGTATTCCCACCCTGTATTATACACTCCTGATTGAAATCTTGAAATGATTGAATTTCCACTGCATTGGACATGAAAAGTTCAGTTCTTGTACCAGATTGCATCTTTTTATCACATGGAGTTTCGGAAATACTCAAGAAATATCATCTTCAGGAGCCCCCTTTCAGGGGGCCGTAGCTCCCTTAGGAGACATTTCTCGACTCATGTTCATTGGAAGTTTTCTTTCTATTTTTGGTAGTCAAAGCCGCTGGTGAAGTTTGGCAGGCTAATTTTGGGACACCCTGTATACTTTACCTACTGCCATATAGTACATCAAAAAAGTTTTGACAAACAGTCTGAATTATAATTCTTGACATTTATGTTATCAGGTGTTGACGGCGGAATAAACGAAAACTGTGCGATGTGCTTACTGTGCGTAAAGGGCTACTTACTGAGGCTGTATTTCGTGTGTTCTTGCCTACTCTCTATAGTGGCCGTAGGTAAACCATATACGTATTAATAATCAATACGGAAAATCTCTAAATGTTTCCATAGCGAAACATGAAGCCGATTTTTGAAGACAAATGACTATCCATAAGGAAAAGTGAGAATATACGATCAGACACATACTGCTTTGATTGAAAGGCTAGTAAACGTCATTGTCCACCGAAACGCATGTCTTTGATGACTACTATAATAGCGCATGGCGCATACGTATCATGCCACCAAATCCTTATGGATATTCATTTGTTTCATATTTTTGGCTTTCTCCTGGCACCCGTTATGATCCGTATTGTTTATTAATACGTATATGAGGTAAACATGATTATCGTAGTCAGTAAAGACAAAAATGAGCTAGAAATATACAAAATATGATAGGTAATCCTGACATTATGAACAAGTATGAAGAAGCACCAACATTAATTATGTTAGATATCTTGAAAACCAAGAGGAATTATACAAAAAACTGTAGTTAGAAAAACGTTAGATAATTGATTTTGTCATTCATTCAAATATCAAAATGTGGTCAGTTGGTGGCGTACTCCAAAAAAGTTATTATTAATTTTAGTATAGTATGCCATGGACAGTTGACGGCATTCGAACAAAAGTCAATGTGACAGTGTGACACTTCTGTCATCATGAATTAATTGATTTGTATATTGTGTAACTGCATTTGAAAGTTTGGTAAAACTGCATTTATCATGCTATGGTTTTTTTTTCGAAAATTTCTTTGGTACTTACGTATTTTTGTCTGAAAAACACGAATTTGATAATGAAAATGTGAACAAACCATTATTTATTAAGATATTTGACTATAAAGTTCTTTTTCGCCTGTCTTCTGGATGGCATTCAGAACAATTTGCTCTTCTTTTTTCATCATTGGACAATTTATATATATCACAATGTATGACACATTTTTTCTATTATATGAGTCAACTAGAAATATGATTTTCTTGAGATTTATCCATATTTAGTGAAAAGAAGGACGAATATTTAAAATAATGGCATGTGTAATATGTCATTTCAAAGAAATCTATTGACATTTGACATTTCGTATTTGGATTGACTATTGATTAAATTGGCGTCATCTGGTAAGCTTATTGTTCACTAAATATGAGACGAAATTTCGAACTTTTTCTTGAAATATCTCGATAAATAGTGGTTTGTTCAAATTTTCATTTTCTATCAAATTCGTGTTTTTCAGACAAAAATACGAAAGTAAAAAAAAATTCTCGAAAAAAACCCACCGCATGATAAATGCAGTTTTACCGAAAGTTTTGATAAGAAATACGTTCTGAATATGAAGAAGCATATGATATCATTGGGATTCAAAATACTTATTTTCCTAACAAGTGCGCAAAGTGTTACTTTCCGCACTATGCGGAAAAGACACTTTGCGCACGTGTTAGGAACAACGTTTTTCCTACGAGCTTCATATCAGATGAAAAGGAAAATGGAAAAAAAATTATAACTAATTGAAAAATGTAACTATACAACAATAACATATAACAATATATTATAATAATAGAAAATCACATTTTTCCTACGAGCTTCATTCAACGAAAATAAAAAAATTCAACTCAAATTACAATGCATTGAATAATTTTCAGTTAAACTTGATAGAAATAGCTAAACAACTAACAATTACATATCAATAAAATATAATGATAGAAAATTAAATCATCTGTTCCTAATATTTATATTGAGGTGAAATACACATATCGGGAAGAACGGTTGAAAAGTAAAAGGGATAACGGCTCCTTTACTTATCCGCACGCCGGGCGGATAACACCCATATCCGTACTGAGTGCGGAAAAGTATTACTTTGCGCACGCAAATGAGTGCGGAGAAGTACTACTTTGCGCACGCTCGTAGGAAAAGGATATCATTGTTATTTGTTTTATAATAGTGATAAAGATACTGATTACTTGGATTGCAAAGATTTTATGGTAAAACTGCATTTAGCATGCGATGGGTTTTTTTTCGAAAATTTTTTTTGGTACTTACGTATTTTTGTCTGAAAAACACGAATTTGATAATGAAAATGTGAACAAACCATTATTAATCAACATATTTCACTATAAAGTTTCAAATTTCACCTTCTTTTCCGCCTGTCTTCTGGATTGAATTTTAAACAATTCACCCTTCTTTTTTCATCATTGGACAATTTATATATATCACAATGTAAGACACATTTTTTTCTATTATTGAGTCAACTAGAAATATGATTTTCTTGTGATTTATCCATATTTATTGAAAAGAAGGAAGAATATCATTTGAAATAATGGCGTGTGTAATGTCATTCCAAAGCAATCTATTGACATTTGACATCGCGTATTTGGATTGCCTATGGATAAAATGGCCGTCATCTGGTATGCTTGCTCACTACATAGGAAAAACTAACCATAAAAATCATATTTCCTGTTGAATTTTCTGTATAAAAATGTGTCATTGAAGTACATCATAAGTATATAAAGTGTCCAATGACAAAATAAGAAGAGCAAGTACCTGAAAATGCATCCAACGCAAGGGGCAAAAGGAGTCGAAATTTCGAACTTTTTTTCGAAATATCTCGATAAATAGTGGTTTGTTCACATTTTCATTATCAAATTCGTGTTTTTCAGACAAAAATACGTAAGTACCAAAAAAAATTTTCGAAAAAAAACCCATCGCATGCTAAATGCAGTTTTACCGATTCTATTTATATCGACGCCAAAGGATGCATGCTGAAGCCAATTTATTTTACCTCCCACGGGAGTTGATATTTTTTTTCCTCCCGTGAGAGTAAATTGATAACTTTGTTTCCTCAAATGCGGCAAGCAAACGCCTACTTTCGAGTCAGTGAGTAGATAAAATAAATTAATTGCTTGGGGCTTCCAAATTGGACATAAATATCAAGTGAGTGGAATTATGATAAACGACTCACCCAAAGGTTCCTCTTCCTAACTGTTTCACAGGTTTGTAGAAATCCATGTTTTTCTGTTTCAGTAATAATTCACCAAATTCACAAATATCTACTCTGTTGAATTAACTAGAACACAATACGTTCTTTCTCAGGTGTAGGCGCTCGAAAAAAGTATTCACAAAAAGTTGCACGGTTTTTTGTCATCTGATTTTATTGACAATAAATAGGTACAATTTGTATCTAGTACAGTGCCGTTCACAGAAAACGGAATGGCCTAAATTAAATCTGAGAAATAATAATCATTACTCAATGGTATAGGTAAGTATGTATACCTACCCACTTATCGTTGAGTATTGGAATAGTGCACCATTTCACTGGAAAGTAGATACGCATGCGGGTAAGATAATAGGTATTTTTGAATGAAGGTAAAATTTTCCCATTAGGTTCCTTGTACCCTAATGGTGGACGGTATGGATCGATCTAACTTTTACATCTTGTCCAAGCTGCAGTATTAAAGGTGAATTATTTTTCTCAAGGTGAAAAGGAATGCATTTCAAGTATTTGGCTATACATTAGTATATATACTTACTCCTTAGCTTGAACTGATAATTCAAACAAAATCAAGAACAGGCATGCAAAAATTGAGTAAAAAATCTAAGATTGTCAAATGATACCTACTAATTCATACATTACAATTATGTTTTTTTGGTTCTAGGTTGAAATAGATCATAAGCTATTCATATCCCTAATCTTTGGATTCCATCCACTGTTATATATTATCTTATTCAGCAGGTGCCTTTCTTCAATGTTATGTCTAATAAACCATATACTTTTCCTGTTGGGTCCTCCATTTTGGTGTCCTTACCGCAATATTGCCAACTGAAAAAAAAATAGAAATCTATATTCAAGCTTCAATAATAACTATCGTTAACATCTTCATGATAATGGTTTATTGAAATTTATAGGTATATTGTGAAATTATGAAATTGGAGCGATAAATTAAGGTGAAAGGTAATGAGGTAGGTGGAGAAGAATGGGAAAGTGTGTTATAATATGGCTAGGCAAGTTCAAGTAAAGAGGAGGGTAAATGTATTCACAAAATATGGTTATTTGGATTTTGTACGTTGGTCGTAGCTGGAAAGTATTTGAAATCTGGCGAGGCTGTTTTGTCGTGAAGAGCTCGTTTTCTACATGTTTCAATATTGGTCGTATGGATATCGACTATTGACAATTACTTGCCTCTGCTGCCACCAACTCATAATGCCTGGGACGAGGATATAGAAATCAAAATGTTTTCTCAATGTTCAAAGTTAAAGATATATGACTTTTCTCATGCTTCTTGAATATCTCCATCTACATGTAAACCTCTGGTTCAACAGGAACTGTCGTTCTAGAGCTGTTGCATGCGGTGAATCAAACCATCTCATCATCCTTGGCGCAAAAACTCTATAACCTCTTGACTATATTTGCCAGGAATAACTGTGATCAAACAATGGATGCATCGAAAGGAGCATACCATGCCAAGATGAGATCAAAACTCATCGATATTATCCCATTAATGTCTCTCGTTCGTTTTGGTCACTGACGGACTAAAGGGCAGTGCGGCAGAGGCCGTCCGCCCCGGGCCCCACACCTATGAAGGCCCCAGTTTGCCATAGAAAAAAAAATTGAAAATAGTTTTTGCGAGAAGGATGTCGTAGGTCGAGTCGCAAAGTCTACAGATTGCCAAAACAAGCAAGCAACTAATACAGCAACGGAGGTAGCTGCTTCATGGAATACCATAAAAATGTTTGAATTTATTATTCAATGCGGGACTTTACCAAATCCCTATCCAACATAGGTATGTCTGATACTTCAGTATTTCCAGTATTTCCTAAGAATTAGTGTTTTTCGAAACTCAAACTGATAAAAAATTATCTTATAGATCGACCATTACTGAGAAACGACTTGCTAGTCTGGCTATTTTGTCCATCGAAAGGAAAGCAGCGTCGGTTTTGGATTTTGATGACCTAATTAATAGATATAGGGCCGCCGGTTGCATAATGCTCTCTGTTAAGTCAACAAGGAATCAACTCTTCTAACTCATAAGCTAAGGCATACGTTGCTATGTAGACGAGCGAATTTCGAGAGCAAAGTCGCTTAGTTTCTGAGATAAAAAAAACTGGCGTAGAACCAGGTAAAACCTGGTCCATTTCTTCAATTAGGTTGTCGTGTACACGAAATCACTTTTTACGACATTTTTTAGTGGTCGTGAACTTTTTAATTTCAAAAAAACTCGAAAAAATGGATTAATATGTGAAACATGTTTTTTTACGTCTCCACCGTTATATCTCTCAAAGTAATTGTGGTTTTGGGCTGATTTTTTTTTTAAATTGAAGAAGATTCAATAGCGGTTCTAACCACCTACTTTGTGATTTTGAAATGTTTTTATTCGATCTGTTAAAATGATAACAAACTTGACATCGATATTTTTGTAGATGTAAATTATAGCAATCGATAAAAAAGTTTATTATTGGAAATTTGTGTATACATTATGCGAACAAAATGGGGGGAATGTATGAAAAAAGTTTTTGGAATGATAATTTTTCATGTATGTATGTATGTATACAGTCAGCGATTTTAACAAAACGGGCTAAAATTGCGCTCGGGCGCGCCCGGCTCTCTTATTACCCAGTTTATGTCTGTCGACTACATAGGTAGCAGATCCGTACGTACGTTATGGTCGGACTTATGATGGGATAATACCTTTTAATGTTTATATTTCAAAATATTGAACTATCTAAATGATACATCAATCAATGTTTGAAACTAAATTCTTTCCTTTTCCTCCATAATGATTATTTAATTATTTTTGACCGGAACTAAAAACGTATGCATCAAACAACTTTTATTTTTTCAATTATTCCAATAGATTAGGTACATCAAAAGTATTCAAGTTCGTCAATTTCTCCTATATCTTCCTCAGAATCTTCGGTAACATTATTACAAAAACGACATTTACAATCTTCACAACATTTTAGGCATTCTTTGAAACAACCACATTTTCGACTTTCACAATTTTTATCCGAACAATATATACTTTATGATTGCCGAACAGAACCAGGAATTGGTTTATCATTCGAAAATATTGAAATCCAAACGTTGTTATTCAAATTCCATCCTGAACCATCTGTATTTATAAGTGGTGTTGCTATGTTGCTGCTGAACCATATTCTGAGTTGATATATACACCTAAAATTTCAATAGTCAACTGAAATATTGTCATCTTATGTTAATATAAATATAAGTATGTTCATAATGTAATAATGAATATAATCTCCACGTTCACCTTGAGAAGTGCTGGTAAAAGGCACCTCCACTTGGGGGAAGCTCTGCAGACGGTTTTTTCAAGAACGTCAAACGTCGATTTTTTTCCTATTTTGAAAAACTACTAGTTGTTTCGCAACCAGTAGAACAATGAAGTGCCAACAGACAAGAACACATTGTAGGTCCTGAACTTTGCACTACTTTTTCAATTGAGATAAATCGTTTGCTAGTACCGTGTCCAAGATGCATAAATAAATTACTTTTTCCCAACAAAAAAAGTGGATGAGTAAAATCTGCTGAATTCAATTTCATGTATAGCATGCAAAATAATCCTTGTATCTGCCTCTTCATGTTTGTTAAAAAATAGAGCCTTAACAATTTCCGAATGATGTTTATGCATTGAAACTACTTTTTCTGACATTTTGAATCCCCTAGCTGTCATCAATATTTCATTTTCGTTCAAGTACTTTGCAGCGTTTTGTATTGTGCTTGGAAAAATAAGAACTGACTGTTTAATTTTATAAGATTTCAAAAAGTGTCGATATTTTTGTAATTTTCGGCTACCAATAACGTTAAAATGTGCTTATAGCTTTAACAGAATTTTCATTGTAGGTGTCAAAAACTACCACTGTTCGAAGTGTTCGACATCTGCGCCCAGCATTAATTACAGCTGCCAAAAAAGTCCTCTCTAAACCGTTAAAAGTTGAAACTCGCGTATTTTTGAAAATTAATCTTATTAGTCGGACTGTTTATGGATCATGGCTACAATGTATTGTTATTGTAAACAAACTGATATGTTGTTGGTCCTCGCGGGCTTTACAAGAACTCTCGTGTTACAAATATAGCGATAACTATATTCAGTACCTAAGGTGAGCACTTTAACGCCCTGTACCAACTCAACGAAACGATTTTGGATATAGGTAAGTGGGACAAAATGAACTTATTTCTGTCCCAGGAGTCCACAGTCAAGCCATGTCCCAACCAGATTATTTTTTTTCAAATGCATAAGATGCCTCAGATCATCAGAAATTATTTATTTGCAAATGAACCTCGAGACTCATCAACAATTAACACGATACAAAATATTCAACAGATATCAAAATTTCCTTCTTTTTTGTTCCAGTACTACTGCTGATACGGCACATTTTTCTGATATCAAATGTTTGTGATTCAAACCGAGGTCCAGAATAATTTGAGGGTCCGGCCTCACTGTCATTTCGCAAAATACTATTGATATTTTGAAAGCTTGTGTGCGATTTATGGCAGTCTGAGTGAAACTTTATTTTTAGGTCACTATTAAAAATTCTTTTTTTTTGCGACAGAATTACCTTTGACCGATTGTCTTGTCTCCTCTCAGCACTTGCTATTAGTGACAACAATCCTTGTATTCTAGGTCTTTGTACCACAGATTTGTCATCATCCCGCACAATATTTCCACAAATAATACACTCTATTTTCTCAGAGAACTTCTTATAAATATCGGCGCTTGTAGATGTTACGCTGAATGCCGTTTACATCAAACTAATCCACCCTCGTCTTTCGGTGGCGCGTGCCGATATTGAGCGAGCAATAAAAAAATCATTGTTGCTAAACTATACAAAATGGAGGAAAAATCATCAGCTCAAAAACTTCTATCATATATGGGCTCCATTTGTTTCGCTATATGTATATAAAAATTTCCAAAAATAAAAAAGTTTATCGATTGGTGCAAATTGTAATGCATAAATTTTGAATTCCATGCTCTCTTGATTTTTGAAAAATGAAAGAAGAAAATTTTGTAAAATCCATCGGTACTGTTAGAAGCGCTATTGTGTTTAGTTCAACCTAGAGAAAAAAACACTTCGATATCTTCATTGATTTCAAAGATATGACGGTGGAAACAAAAAAAATACATTTTATTTAAAGTGCATTTTTTTCAGTTTTTTCTCAGTTAAAAAGTTCCAGACCACAGAAAAATGTCGTAAAATACGATTTCATATACCTAGTGATATGGTCAACAAAACCTACCATGTCTGACCTGGTTCTACGTCAGAAAAAAAAAACGACACGATAGGGTCTTGAATTTACTACACTAATGGTTATGAACAAATTGAATATTTGATCATCTCTCAAATGCTGAGGGCCGGTTGCTTAAAGAGGCATACATTGTAACAGCAACCCTGTATTTGAAAAGTTATAAGCTATGTTTGTATGGAACGAATTTCGACGGTTGGAAGAAAAATTGCAAAATCAGCGTTTTGAACCATTGTCGTTCTAGATGCCAACCTAGTTAGGTGGTTAGTAGGCGAGAGCTACTTTGAACATAAGAGCGACTTGGAAATAGCGAAAGACGAAGAAAAATCAGGAGTCGGGTCGAAGGTATCGCTGAGAAAAGAGCGTCAGATTTTGACGTTGAGAGATCGGTTTCGGAACTATAGGTGCGCGAAATAAGCCTCGGAAGACTGAAGTTAAAATGCAAAATCGGTATCAAAGTTTATACAGTATGGATTGATTTTTTGTTTCGGTAATTGTTTATTGAATTCAATTAACACTAATACCATATAACAGCCACTACTTCCACACTGTTTTTTTTTCATATATCTCCCGAATAAGTATAGGTAGGTACTTATAATATATACCTACTCGAAATTTAAAAACTTTCTCGCCGGTATATTTTCAGGCACATAATATATAAATAAGCTCTCCTATTTATATATAGTTTCCGAGATCCCAATGGTGGCCCTCGAATTTGAATTAACTGGTATGGATATGGTCATCATTTACTTTCCATGATCTATCTGAATAAGTGAATAGAATTAAGTAGGTAACTTCGTTGTAGACGGGCAAAGAAAACGATGTTTCACATCTGGCCCATTAGCTCAGTTGGTTAGAGCGTCGTGCTAATAACGCGAAGGTCGCGGGTTCGATCCCCTCATGGGCCATTTTTTTTTTGATTCGAGTTATGATTCAAGTTCAATTCCAGTTTCCTACGTTGCCACGACACCATGTGCGAAGCAGTGCGTAAAGTAATACGATGCGCGAAGTACATATACTTTGAGAATTGTATGACCATAGGAGATAACATCCAAGAAATCATTTATTTCTGAATGTTTAACAATAATTAAGGCCTTTTAAGCCAGTTCAACACTACTTTTTGTATTAAGCTAAGCATATATCACTACTTCAGAACTATATTTTTTGACGTTTGTAGAAAAAATGTTGTTTGAAACTCGTGCGCGAAATGCTACTTTGGTGATCGAGAAAAAAATAGTCTAGATACAAAAGTAACTTTTTTGTACAACTGTCAAAAGAACTTGACATTTCTGCATCTCTATTGCTGCGTGAATGTTTACTTTTCTCACTGCCTAAATAATTCACAAAATGAACATGAAATATTACTTTATGAAGGATTCATTTTTTACAGAGTCAAAATTGTTGAATGAAAATTCATCATAAAACAATTTCAGTTATTGAAATAATAATTCATATAATAAATAGAAACGAGGAGAGAAGATATCAAAAAGTGTAGACAAATACTTGAACTCAAATTGAAAGGTATAGGTATCCGTTGGGTATAATGGCAGCTGCTGCATATACAGGGTGTCCCTCGGGGAACTGCATCGATCAATATATAGAAAACCATAAGTGGGCCGAATTTGAAAATTTGATATTTCACTATTGTTGATAAGTGCTGTCCGGTTGAAATATTTTGAAGATTGTGGCACTTCCGGTTGTACCGGAAGTGGACCCCAACTTCGTTATTTCAAATGGAATTTAGGATAGATATAGGGTGTTCAAAATCAAGACTTTTCAATTTTAGGATTTTTTGTGTCGAAACTATTCATTATCGATCGAAAGGGCTTTCATGGCCCTATATTAACTTTCGATTCACTATCTACTGACATTTAATTGGAACAAATACAGGGTGATCAGATTTCTGAATCTTGAAGCACCCTGTATCTGTACCTGTAATCATTCCTGATAGACCATAAGTGTGATAAATTGATGAAATCAGCTCTTCAGTAAGAATCTAAAACTGCAATAAAATACAGGGTGTTCCATTCGAAATAACGAAGTTGGGGTCCACTTCTGGACAACCGGAAGTGCCACAATCTTCAAAATATTTCAGCCCGATAGCACTTATCAACAATAGTGAACTACCAAATTTTCAAATTCGGCACACCTATGGTTTTCTATTTATTGATCGATGCAGTTCCCGGACGGACACCCTGTATAATCTGATGAATTATTAATTCATGCTCTCTGTGTCGAAAAATGAAAACACCCGATGCTGTTGATACTATTCCAAACTAGAAATGTTCATTTGAGTAAAACCTCGTTTTTGATAAATGGCATGTTTAGAAATCCTGGGGTAGGTCAGAAAAATTCAATTTTTTAGTCTGGTTTGAGTAATTTAGCATCGATCGTAATTTGGCCTCCAAGGGCTAACAACCATGCATATTTGACTCCAGAATCTGAAGGTTCCTTTTAGTCCCCCTGTCCAAGCGGACTCTGACGCTCTGATGCATTCAGTCGTAACTCATTCGACTTCTAATAGTCATAAGCTGTGCTCATCGAGAAAATTTGGTGAATACACTAAGCCCTTTCGCCAAAATCTAAACATGAGCTCCCTCAAGAACCTTGACCAGAGATACGTACTCATTTTGAGTGAGGTTTTTTTTCTCTTCAGTGGTGAATGTAGAGATAACTGTTCTGATGCAGATTTATTGTAGAACTAATAGAAAAATTGATAATCTTCATGTTAGACTGGGTGATGCAATAATAAAAACATCAGACCACACCAAATTTCTAGGTACTTTTATCGATATTAACATGACATGGGAGTCAGGTATAAATCATGTCGGTAAGAAAGTGAACGGTACTATGCTATTAGACAATGGGCTTATATCACAACAAAAAATTATATTATAATTCGATAGAACTCCCCCAAACTAGCTCACCACCGCAAACCGATTCTTGCTGTGAGCTCCCTACGTTTTATAAAATATTATTGAAATCCCCGATTTTTCGGACCTCTGAAAACGAGGCGATGATTTGACGTCAAAACCCTAATACTGAAACATGACTATTCCAGATAGAGATGAATGATACATGATTTCTGACAGAGTGAATTAGCGCGAGATCACAGTTGAAAGAATTAATATATCAGTTGCCTCAGTCTCCGTCGGGCGTTTGGTATTTTCTTTTAACTATAACGTGATGAGATTTCTACATCCGTTTTCAGAAGGTACTATTATTTATGTCCAAAAATAAAACATTCCAGTTAATTTTTCGTTCGAATTATGTCGTCAATCATTATTTATGTATAAAAGGATCATTATATTATAAACATGCATGGTTTGAGTTAAAAGTTCTACTAAGGTGTACACGCCCATTGGGGCCCACGTTGAAATATAAATATCTCATATATTTTACATAACAATGCGCGAAGTAAGTACTTCGCGCACTGTTTTATACCTACTTCGCGCATTGTTTCGTGCAAGGTATCATGGTAACGTAGGAAACTGAAAAAAAGTGTCACTCCGCAATTTGTTATCAATGCGCGAACCTTGTCATTTCATGACATTTGTATCTAGAGCGCGAAATGCTACTTCGGTGATCGGCTACGCCTCGTTAAAAAAATAGTCGATTTCGGATTTATTGACGTTAAAAGATGAAATTGGATTGGATTCAAAACTGATAATCTCGAGGCTATTATATTTTATCAATTAATTGATGTAAAATAGGTAGGTATACGTCAATAATTTGGACTTTTAAAGAAGTTTGTGGAAACAATAGTGCACCCATGACATACCTGCTAAAAGTGATTTATTTATTTTGTTTGAAGGGATGGAACTCTCAGCCTTCAGCGTCGTGTGTACCAAACTTCCCTTCTCACAAAATTAAATATCACTTTTAGTACTATTATATCATAAATAACTATCCTTCTGTGTCTGTGTGTAATGACTTATAAAAAAAGAGAGGACAAAATCTACTTAAATATGGTTGGACAATCAAAAATTTCTCTTTCAATTTTTAATGAAGAAAAACAAAAATGTAAGGTTTCCGATACCGGGAATCGAACCCGAGCCTGCTGGGTGAAAGCCAGCTATCCTAGCCACTAGACCATATCGGATAGTAGAAGTTGCCTCACTATAAAAATATATATCTTATAGATGTTCTACAATATACGTCGATAATTTGATCATTGGCACACAATTTGGCAGAGCGTTTCATATTATCCATTTATTCTTATATTATATCCTAATTATTATTCTTATAAAATAGTTATGTGTGAATGAAACTCTATATTGATATGAAGCTAACAAACAATACCTACTATATATTGCATTAAAATGAACCTTCTGGAAATTACCTTCCTTAAAGTTTACGGTGCCCGATTCAGATCACCATCTCATTGAACTAAGTTAATAATTTGGAATTGCAAATGTATATATCCGGTATGGTCTAGTGGCTAGGATACCTGGCTCTCACCCAGGAGGCTCGGGTTCGATTCCCGGTACCGGAATTTTTTTTTATTATATCATAGAAAAACTTCACGGTGTGTTTCCTACGAATCCAAAATTCATTGAGCATAAACGTTGCTACGAATCTACAACTAGCGAATTAATGACCTGGAGCTCGTTGGCAATTGTTCTACTTGAGTTACATTTATACGAATTTTCGTCTTACCAACATGAGTTTGCCATAACTATTCCACTTACCTCTTGCCATACATGTCTTTGATAACCAATTTATCGAAATACAAAGTTGGTACGTAATATTCTGTTTCGTTTTTCGACTTTCTGTCTTCTTGACTCAAATCCAGAAAGTTCATCCTCACTTGAACGGTTTCAACATTTTCGTCCATACTGTTGTAGTCAGTAACTGCCAGACTGTTCATTTCCCTTAGTGCTCCCACACTAGTGAATCTGAAAAAATAGGGAATGATTGGTTCCTCTTTACATGTAACGACCGAAGATAGATTCAATTCATGCCATCATCTCCTTAAATGTCTGTATACTTCTAAGTACTGACGTGGAGGAGGAGGCTAAATGTTTTGAAAATTTTGATTTCAACGCAACACAACAGCCTTCGAGGACTACCAACTTTCTCCACAACCCAATCCTGCTCCAAGGAGAGAAAGAAAATGAACCAGCGCACTGATGATCCCGAATAGTAATATGAATTGGACCATTCTCCAGAAAATTTTGCATGACCAAAGGGCCCGATATCCATATTGAACACAATGGAAGTTCTAGAGAAAGAAACAATTTCCATCGAGTAAGACGTCGAAATAGAAATGAGGCAAGTAACAGACACAAATAACCATGGTGGAACCAGAGAGCGAGCATAACGTAGGAGCATAAGGACATCTACCCCTAAAAGTGAGACGAGAGTTGCACGCCTTGAGTTTTTTGGGTATCAGAAAACGTTTGAAAAAATCAAGAATAACTTTTCATCCAATAAACGACGGACTCGTATGAACCTGCTTACAATCAGAATGAATGAGTTGAATGAAATGAAATTTATGAGAAGAATGAAAATGCATTAATATGGACTGAATTTTGTCGAGTCATAGTAGAGCAGTTGGAGGAATTGGGGTGGAAATAATTTCAACAAAAACGCAGTTTCCATTTTCTGAAGCCTCATTCGGCCCCTTACACTATATTAAAAATATAGATGCATTCTTGCATGCAAAAATGTTTTAATGCAACTTTCCATATTTCAGGTGCCCAAACCGAAATGATTGTTTCACAACTCAACACATGTTCCGCTACCTAAATTAGGATCTTCAGAATAAGATTCAAACGAATTCCATGATCTTCCTTAAAATGATAATATGGTCAGCAGATCTCAAAATCCGTGTCGAGGTGTGAAACAATCATTTTGGTATGTGATTGAAACTATTCTCTCTGATGAATGTGAATGAAAGGTTCCATAATTTGATATATTATTCCAGGCATACCAAAATATAGAACATTAAAAGCAGCGATGGAAGATTACAAATGGTTTTTATGTTCGTGTCCAAGGAATTATAAGTGCTAGCAAGTAGCAGCAAGACAAAATAATTGAACTCTTGGAACCAGTGCCTATTTATCCTTTAATTGTTCACGTCGAATGTCGTCGTTTGTACATAAATCCGAACAAGATGGAGAATGATCTCAGGTTTAAATCAGATCCTGATAGAGAAGCATCAACTAGTAGCAGCAGCAACAGAGCTTTGTGATCTATCTGAGCTGACGACATTCGCATTCAAAGATAATGTCTTGTTTTTGGGCCAATTCATCAAGGCAACTGAGAAAGTAATTAAATCTGCAATTTAACCAATACGAACTTTCGCATTTCGACAAACTATTATTGATGTTAAGGAGGAAGGAGAGCTCAAAGTCATCTCCACAACTTTAATATGATGTAGTTATTCAACGGGACATGTTTCGAACTTATAAAAGTCCATCTTCAGCCGTATTTAAGAAATCAATGGAGGTGAACATTATTTGTTTTAACAAAGTTGTCGATGTCTCTCATCATAATATCATTGATAAGATAAGATGTGTGTGATGCAAGAAACGATTTTTGATCATCAAATGTCCTTGCACGTCTTCTTACCGTTTTCGATACTTGCCAGCAGCAGATGCTCTGTATAATTAGAAATGTAGTGTGCATTTTGGAAAAGGCGACTCTATTCCTAAGAAATATCAAGATGACATTCCCAATGAGCAGACAAAGTTAGCAGGACGTCCTTCTGATAAAAATAGAAAAGATGCCTTTTTAGAAATATGCAGCTCAAGGAAAATGATGAACCAATTTCAGTTCAGGAGTTGCTGGACAAAATGGCAGAGCTGCTACCAGAAAATATCGAACCTTACACTGTTCGTCGTATGGATAAAAAATTAGAAGAATATTTCTCGGATGACATTATGATATTGGGACACAAAAGGTAGAGCTAATATGATCGTAACAGGGAAAACAGTTGCCAATATAATTTGTGATTATCAGCGACAAAAGTGTTCAGAAGATCCAGATTCTGAAAAATTTCGGATAGTTGTAGCAACAGCTAAACTGATTAAGAATTTGATCAAGTTGATGAGAACATCCTTAGAGTTTTATCTCTCACCAGAAGAAATAAGTTCCGAGCAAGAAAATAATAAGCTTTCATCCGACATTCTGAAAACATTCTTGAATATAATAATCAACAAAAAATTCTCGAGTTTGGAGAAAATATCAATTGAACTGGCACTAACGCAAACTGCAAGGCCACGATCTATCATAAGTTCAATTTCTAGGTGTTGGTGTGCAGTATCATCGGGATTTTCGATCTCGGTTACTTGTCGATGAACTTCATATATGCCATTTTTATTAGGTCTATGATTTATACGTATTAACGAATAAACGAATATTGGAAACACTGTATTTCTATTTTGCACACAAGTATCATTCTATATTTTCTCATATGTGTTATTCTATGCATTCTGAACTGAGAAAAGCAAAGAGAAATTTTGCGGGAATTATTTCCACCTGAGACCATTTTTAATCGCATATCTACTACACTATATCAGGTAAATTGCAACGTCTGCATTTTCTTTTTGTTAGCGGCTGGTTCAACGACATAATTCAACGCTCACTAAATAGGAGCATTTATTGTGGATAATACATAAGTGCCTCAGGCACTGAACTGAATCTGTATACTTCTCCTTGAAGGTTGAAATGGTACTGACTTCACAATCACAAACGAGAATGAGGCGAAGTTTGCCATGGAACGCTAGTTCGTGTTTAGAATGGGTGTCAATTTGAAAACTTTCAACGCGAATATCCAGCGAAATGTTATTGAGTTAGCAGAACTAGAACTACTATATTTGAAAGAAGGGATATGAGTTGCCCCTTAGGCGTGACACACCCCCACTGTCTCATAAAGGTACTATCCCTATTGTGATACCTCAACTGGAACGCCTCATTTAGAAGTGTTCATCTGTACAAGAATTTTTGGATGGGAACAAATTTGGTTATTATGGAGGATGGATGGTCTCAAAGGGGGTAATTTTGATGAGGTTGACCGACCTTTTGGGAATCTCCGTTAGGCATGTCCTTAAACCCAACTGAGTTCATCGAAGAGAATTCTTGTCATGAGGATCCTGACTTCAGGAGATCGGACACATATTTTGTCAGGACTCTAATCGTAGAACAAATACCCCCCTGGCTAACACCAGCCATCTCCACAATGCGTGGAGGATTGTTTTATACACATTTCATATAGTTGTGTATTATGTTCGAAATCGTCTATGTATTAGTTAAGGGAGGGAATAGATGAATTTGAAGTCAGGTAGGGATGATGAAGCCAGAAAGGTACTGTTGTCTGTTCGGATTACCCAGCCATTTTACAGAAACAAATTCGACTGATATAGACACAAAATAAGTGCCTTCATAAGAATTTCGAGTTACAGGATCATAGAAATACTGCTCTGGCGTTTTTTCGACCATTATGATCTCTCCTAAGGTTGTCACTATATACCTAGTGACAGGATAATAAACAGGATGATAATGTCACAAACACGTTTCACCCATATACGTTCACCGTGCAAGTAATGCAGGCGCATAATGCAATAATGCTCTTTGCAACGTAACAAAGGCATTACAACTGTAACCAAGGGTGTTACGTACCTACGTAATCACTATGAACTCGTAAGATATATTGAGAGGTTATCAAATAAGTTCTTCAAACAACCTGTTGACATCAGTTACAAATTTCTTCTAGACCTATAGGAATTTTCGAAATATGACCAAAAAAGAAATAGGAGTATTTTCTTCTCAACCGAATAATGTGATAATCTTCTTATTTCAATGTGTATATTTAGTTTCTATTCGTACCTAAAGATGGCCGAGGGACAAGAGCTAGCTAGAGTTCCTAAAATTACTTAACATTTTGGCCTATTTTGACGTGTTTGTTAAATGTACAAAAACGTCAAAACAGCAGTGTCAAGATTATTATACAGTCTGTCCAAGATAAGGTTGAACAGCATGGGTACCTATCTCGAAAACGGTAGGAGAAACGAAGTCGGTTAAATGTCTTAGAAGCAACTGTAAGAAGAGGATATCTTTGTTCAGAAAATAATGGTTATCATTTTGAACATTTGTTATGAATGTTTCTGTTTTCGTATAAGAATTCATCAACAATTTTAAGCGCTGCATTGAATGATGTACTGAAATATTTTTTATTCACTTCTTGGTATTGAATAACTAATCTATCAATATTTGACACTGAATGATCAGAAATAAGTGGAACTGATGGCACTTTTCCTTTGGAAGTTCGAAAAAACATTGATGATGGATAGAAAGAGGTCGAAACACATTCGAATTACCTTGTATAATACATGGTTGAATTCAGAATGAAAAAACCTTTCAGAATATGTGAAAAAATTATCAGGACCGTATTTGAAAAACAAAAGTTGATGATGGTTCTACGGATACGAAACGTCGCATAGAAAAATCGATATCACCACGTTGAACGTCACTAGAAGTTGCTACAAAAAAGTATTTTCAGTTCTTCTGTATCTCTAATAATAACGGAGAAAGAAAATAAAACAGATATTCCAAAAACTCACTTTTTTCGATACAACTCAAAAACTAGAAATAATTTTGAAAATTTTCGAAGGCGCTTGATATGAGCCTCCGAATGCGCAACTTTTTCCCCATTGTGCGCCCACTTGTCCTGTGAATCAGCTGGGCATGCCGATTTCTTTGACGAAATTCAGCAGATTCCTCAGCTGAGTCACTTTCACATCCTTTGGGTGCAGTACAATGCTCCCAAAGGCAGCTTTCCTCTGATGCACCAGTGCGGGGCATTCAGTGAGTATGTGTGATGATGTTTCATCATCCTCCAAGCACCATCTGCAGATGGGATCATCTTTGATCCCTATGAGTTCTAGGTGCCTGTTGAGGTGGTTGTGCCCAGTTAAGAGCCCAACTACCATCTTGAGATCCCTTCTATTAAGTGACAGGATCTCTCTCGTGAGCCTTTTTGAAGGTTCCTTTATATGGAGCTTTGATTGTCTCATTCCTGGTGTGTCCCACCATGTTTCAAGGAACTGCCTCTGTAGCATTTCCTTCATGAAGGACATAGCCGCACTATTGGGTATTCCCAATATCGGTTCTGGTCCAATGGGTGTCGTTCCTGAACCGATCTTGGCTAGTCTGTCTGCCTCCTCGTTCCCCGTGATACCAGAGTGTCCTGGAACCCACATGAGGCTGACTTTCCTAGTTTTTGCCATATTTTCTAAGGCACTTCTACACTCGGACACCAATTTAGTTGTGATCCTATTGGATCTCAATGCCATAATAGCAGCTTTACTGTCCGAGCATATGGTGACTGGTCCACGTCCACTTCTGCCGAAATTTTCTTGGACACACGTCAGAATTGCAAACACTTCGGCCTGGAACACTAAAGCGTATTTGCCAGAGGTACTGAGATTCATTTCCCTGTTCCTCCTTCATATACTCCTGCACGAGATCCGCCACCAAACCTTGAGCCATCCGTGAACAAGGTTGATTCGTTGGCAGGAAGCAAGCCTGGTGTATTGCCAGTCCATTCCTCTCTTGTAGGAAAAATGACATGCGGAGCTTTATTGAAATTCAGAACTGGCAGAGTGCTGTCCCTTACCATCAGCAGACTGGGACTGTATATTATATACACCATTATATGGTAATAGAGATTTTGATAATATATATACCTACATATAATTTCAACACTAGAATGGGATCAAAATGTGGTCCCCTTTTTCCTTCCACACTTCAACATCGTAACAATCCTGACGCCACCTCCGTACAAATAATTTCCGTAAGGAAGGTACTTGCTTTTTTTTGCTATTTTCAAAAAGACAATAGGAAGAATCTAACATTCTGAGGATATTCGTTAGACTATTCCTATTGATGTGTTCAATCAAATATCACTATAATACTGATGGAAATTTATTCGGACCACTCTGAGATACCTCCACAATGGACATGGTATATATTTGATCGAAATTTCCAGTTGTTTCTCGAAATTATTTCCAAAGATGGAACACTTACTCGCAGTTGATATTGAAAAGAACAGAACTGTTTGAATAATATAGCTGTAACTGTAGATTGCCCTTCATAGGTCCAGTTTTTGGAGATAAATGCAAGGATGCGTGTAGTTGAGACCCTGAAACAATATAAAAAATATATATCAGTATTATTATACTGCATATTCCTTTTTAAGTTCATGCAAATTCGATGGAATGAAGGAACTTGATTGGCTCTCCGCGAAAAGCTAGCAGCAAAAAGCTGGTATGGAAGGCCACCTAAATCACGTGCAAAATAATCAGTGGAGGTGCAAACAACTGACGTTACTACTATCTAGACTGCCGAATATGGCTATATTCCGATTTCAACTGGCCAGTAATGTCAGTAGATCCACTGACTCCGCTGAAAATCTGTGTTCCGAAATATAAAATCAAAAATACAGTGCTGTAATTCGGAACACGTCTTTTAAAAACTGCATTTTCTCACCGTTTGCCTGCCCGTTTGTGTGTTTCTTACCACAATATTGACCAGAATCTTTCGTTGAAAAGAACATGACCCCCTCTCCTTTGGCCTCCTCTCCGAATTTTCCGATGTCATATCTATAGGAAGGATCCAAGGATAGTGAATTATTTCTCTGGATTTGTGGAAAACATACTCCGTTTTCGAAGGATGCCATACCTCCCGGACAGTTATAGGCTGTGAATTCGCAGGTTTCTCTGTTTTCTCGACGTTCTTCCAGGAGGTTCAGAACTGATTCTCGAAAGAGATGGAGGGCTCGTATGTGACTGCAAACTATTTCTCTAGAAAGTCCTCGTTCTGAAAATAAAAATGAGAGAATCAGAAGATAAAGGATTTTGAAAAGAGATTTCAACCTTAGAATCTTTGTTAGCACCTTGCATATTTGTTGTATTTCTTTAATTTTTTTTTTATTTTAGTTGAAACCCCACTGAATTTCTAAGATAAGTAATATAATTATCGTGTTATAACTTCCTATGAATACTTTTTTAGGCTCGTCCTGTTTGTATTCCTGAATATAATGAAAATATATATATATATATAAAGTAACTGAATTGTTTTGTTATAAATTTGATATTTCGTGATCATTTTTTGAACATATTTTCAAAGAACTACATAGAGGATTAGGTCAAAAATACAAAAAGAAATTGCACGTTGTTTAGCGGAAGAGACCAGTAGAAAATTTTTCAAAATTGACTATGAGGGTAGAGACGTCTTCAGGAAAACTGTTAATTTTTCTCAAAAGGAAAATAATGTGCCTACCCTGGAAATTATTCAAGATAAATGGAAGGATTATCCCATAATTATCGATGTTCACCTACATTATACGAGCTATTTTGATGGACTGTTTTTGAACATAGAAGAATTTAATAATAGAACGGTCATAATGAAATCGCAGTGAATAGTCGATCTTTGACAAGGAAATTAAATGGTGTAGACAGTCCAACAGGACTATAATATTCTTGGATGAGAACCTGATGGTTTGATTCACAATGACATGCCGTTATTCCTTACGGTTGGGTATAGATGACTCCCGAAATTATCGTTCCAGAGCAGAAAGCGCATATTTATAGACCAGGAACCAGACTAGTGAGAACTGGCGCCTTATAAGTTGATGTTTTACGTTTGCCACCCTACTACTATAATGTTCAATCCAATAGAGTTGAAAACTACGAAATAGCCACAATGCTCAAAGTGTTTCCTTCCTTATTTTCTACTCAGATGGCATTGCTCTCATATTATCTATGGATGACGCCTTTGAAGGAATATAACGGCGACTCGATTTTTGTTTGGCTAGGCTACGCTTAGTCGGCGGTCTTAAGACTAAGAGTGCCCTGCATTGATGAGAGTCAAAGAGCTCGAAACCGGTCTGTAGGTGTCTAGCGTGGCCTGGTTAAATCGAAATCAATAGGCATTCAGGAGAGAATCACTTGTATCAGTATTCGTTTTTACGAGTCCATTCATAGATTTGGGGAAGATGTAATTCAATGTTCTGCGTGATATTAGCCAGAACAGTAGTTGTTTTTTTCCCGAAATCTACCATTCTTATTCACTTTATGAACATGGTGTGGAAATCACTTTGAGCATTTTGTATTTATCCAATAGTCGATTTGGGCTACTATAAAAAAATATTGAGAAATTGAACCAATCACCGACAATGAGTACCATTCATACTCAGTGTACAGTATGACACAAGTGGTAATTTAATTTGACAGTTACATGTAGAAAGACTGTATTAGTTAGTTCTCAAATAGTTCTTATCCATCATTCGGTTGCCCCCTTACGAGCAACCCTCAAAAGTCTTCAAGAGACTTGTGCGAGCAAGGAACGACGGAGTCTTACCTTTTAACGTGTGATCAAAACACTTTCTTAGGCCATTAGAAAAATTTCTGCGGTCGTGGTGGCAATCGAACCTACTTACCGGTAATCCAACGTGGATAGAACATTGACGCTCTAACCACGAGGCTACGATGGCCATGTCATTATCAATCTCGGCACTGAGAGTAACTCTATTTCCGAAGATTGAAATGTGTTCTTTTGTTGGTTTGTGTGTGATAATTCATAAACTGTACGACTCTGATGACATTCCGCATGCAATTTTTTTTCAAAAGCTTTACATCTTTTGCAATGGTTCGAAATAGTTCCTCTAGTATTTTCATCTAGTATTTCAAGTAACACCTCTTTCTCATTCAACAATCAGAAATATACGCATATACTATGTCTCAGGGTCTCTCTCTTCTTTTAACCTCCAAATGAACTTTTTTCTGGAACCGAAGCCGTCCATCTCAATACCAAAATTAGAACTCGAATTGACGTTCTTATAACTGACAGAAACATCAGAACTTCAGCTCCCAAGAACATGAAAGGACAACATCGTTACGATGGGTTATTTGGGTTGGGACGCATACCTGATTTTTTTTCCAAATTCGGCAGATTTTGGCATTTCATACCCATACTGGAGATATAAATACACCATATCATAGTTGAGTATTTTTGTTCTGATTAGGCAAGCCTTCAAGATTCACGAGCAAGTATGCTCGATCTGTATTTCATTCTTTATTCTCTGGATGGATGTTGTTTTTGAATAATCACGGCCAGTAATAGGTTTTTGTCTCAAACTACGATATTGTTTACCTTTAATTGAGCCAAACATGGTGAAGTATGGAGAGAAATAAATAATCGCTATTATTATTGATGGTATATGTTCACTAAACTAACATTTTCCTATACACTTCCTGGCACTGGCGTGGTATTTGCTATTAGGGCTGACACATGGTCCATAAACAAATGGGTCCCTCTGTGGTTGTATTTATATTGAAACTACAATTCGAACATCCTTGAAAATTGAATAAACATGATCTATTAATGCAGGTAGAATGTTTTCACCACACGGATTATTTGTGCATTGCATACATATGACACGGCATTGGTCGTTACTTCACATATTTATTATAGTCAATCCTTTCGGTTGCAGAAAAAATAGCATGTTTCATTCGCATCGAAGGTGACACTTTGTTTGACAAATACAAATCTAGCCATGCTGCCACACCACCACACGTCCGAGTCAAATATAGTGTAGTTGAAGACAAAATAAGAATGTATCTGAAAATGTTCAATTCTATATATGTATACGAAATATTCCGAAGTGGAATATCTATTTTGACTGAACTATTACAAGAAATAGGTTTTCAACTCACCAAAGTGTGATACAACAATGGAATCTTTTACGTCGTGACATCCTGGTTGATCTTGGCCTCCATTTGGGTAAAAATCTACATGTCCGATTGGATCCCAAATTCCGAAACCATCGGTAACGAACTACAAAATTATAATTATTTGCACTAGCTTTTGTCAAATGTACTCAGCTCTCTGGCTCGTTATATCATCCAATAATTCACAAGGAATGGACTTACTGGGCTGGAATCAGTGTGGATTGCATCTACAAAGGTGGCATCACTTCTATCGAGTTTCTTGTATTTTTCTCTTAGATAATTGTTTCTGAATAAGGGACTAGCAGCATCTAAACCTGAAAATAGGAAATAAAATTGGTGTGAATAAAATAAATATATTCATTTAGACTATTAGCATGTTTTGAAAAATGATCGATTCCGACTAGAATCCAGGTTCAGCAAGAAATGTACTGAATCGAAAATCTATACTAAGCAACATTTCATGAAGATGAAGTTTGAAGGCTCTAGCTCCTTCCATATCCATTGGTGTTTTTTTTTTAATATATATTCTTTGAATCTATCTATGGTAAAGGTATCTGGAGATTTTCTATACTATTTTTTAAGTTCAAACCGACCAAAGGAGTCTTGATCTTTCTATAGACTCTTCCATTGTTCCAGCTTGTTTCTACTCAATACGTGACATGAGGTTCAAATGATATAGATCTGTTCCAGTAGAACACCTCGTATCATTATTTCCAAGTACCTACCAAGTTGGTTCGTATAAAGATAACTCACCAGTGATTCTTCCTAGAAGATAGCCTTTCTCCTTCAAACTCTCAGAAGCCGTTCCACAGACGTGTGCGCCCAATGAGAACCCTATCAAATGAATGTTCCTGGCATCTAAACCCGTTTCCACCATTTTCCTCAGCAGCATGCCCAGCTGCCTTCCGACCAGCTCGGTATTAGCAGCTGCTACAGGATACTGAGGTCCTCTGGCACCAATATGCCAGTCCATCAAAATCATGTTGCAGTCGTACTAATTTGAAAATAATTGAAAATTAGTAGGGTTTGTGGGGATTCAGCTATAGTGGTAATCTTTCAATCTGAACTAACTGAAATATTCCACTAGAACTGAACTGGATCACTCAACAAGCGTTCTTTCGAAAGACTTTCATTCGATAGAATTCATGTTGACTGATTCAGTACAGTTCAAGTAAAATATTTCAGCTAGTTCAGGTTAAAAGAATATCACTTATGTTTCTTGATCGCACCGAGAAAAATCGTTATTAAGGAATAAGATTCATATCGGTGATATTGGTTTCAATGAGAATCGAACCGAATACCTATACGTGTATGCATGTGTAGAAGATCGTTCAGATTGTTGGATTTGAGGAACTACGAGATGTTAAATCTGAATGTTGGAATCGATTTCGTTATTTTCCATACCGTGAATCTTCATAAAATTGAAATATAAAATTCAATTGCACAATCTCACATTTCGAGAATTCGAGGTGGCTGTTTGTTTCATTACCTATTTTTTTTTATGTTCTGGTTCCCACGAAAAGGGATATCCTGTAATGTTCCGAGAACATCGTGAGAACCAAGGGAAATATGGTAGGAATTGGTGTTCTCCTTAAATTTCTGGAGGTTATATGCCTCGGGGAACACCTCCCGTGGCAATGAGTTCCAGAGCCTCGCTGTTCGTTGGATGAACGAGTCTTTGGAAAGAGATGTTCTGCAGGTCTCCAAAGTGACCACGAAGGGGTGCGAAGCCTCAAGTCAATCTCGCGGGGACTGCCAAGGGAGGTACAATTGTTGATATTTCAGAAGAGCATCGTCCATGAAAATATCTATAAAATAGAGCCAGATCGCCAACTTTTCTACGGTGTTCCAGAAAGTGAGTGAGCTTGTGAGTAAGGCATCACCCACGAGACGAATTGCCCTTTTTTTGGACAGAATCCGACAGTTTCAGGGTATGTTTGGGTGCCGCACTCCAAATATGGAAACAGTATTCCAGGACATGTCGGATCTGTGACTATATCCACCCCAAAAGGGTGTTCCGAATTCCTCTGATATTATGTATTACAATGTCGAACAAATAAAATAACTTATTTCCAAGTGGTACGCAGTGCTCTTTCGATATGATCTCAATGCACTTATAACAGAAACAATGTATACTCCCATCAAATGACATTTTACCTATTTCACGAATGAACAGATTACTCATAACTCATAACACATGCATTGAATATCTTTGAGTACACTGTTCAATCATTATCACGAATCTGTTCATTTACAAAAAGGGAACAATATATCACAAACAAGTAGTCGCTTACTCAGCTCAACTTATCTCTCCATTTCTATTGAAATGAATCATTGTGTTAGTTCGTCGGTTAACTTGACAAATCTTTGATTTTCCTCGAATACTTTAGTGCAATGGGGTTGTACACACTAGTGGAATTTACGTCATATTTCTATTTCATTCTGATGATTCAGTTTTGAAGACAGTCTTCCATTAATTGAAATGATCACAAATATATTTTCTTCAATAATAAAAATATTCTCACCTCAAAAACGCTAGCTCTCGCTATAACGTGATATGCCTATGAGTATCATTCGTGTCTTTATTCATATCCTCAGTATTGGGTTATTTTTCGGAACTATAGCACAACAGTGCATCAACAGTGTATACAGGGTGAGTCAAGCTGAACGCATCGGGATATAATGACCAAACGGTGAACTTTCTGAGAAATGATTTCATTCAGGCGAAATTATGTCGATCTGACAACATGTCAAAAATAGTGTGATGAATACAAAGTGTCTAGAGAAAAGGTGGCATATCAAAGTTGTACTTTTTTAAATGGAACACCCTATATTTTATTGCATTTCTGAATTCTACGATGAAAAATAGACTAACTTTGCTGAGGTTTCCCTATACCTAATTCCCTTAGTTTTCGAGATTTTTTAAAGTTTCTCAAAATGTAAGGTATTAACAAAACCTTGATATCATTGAAGCACGATAATTTGAAAGTACCAGTATTTATACAGTCCAAGTCCTAGAGCTGAGCTCTTTCAAGGAGAAATCTTCTGAGGTAAGTTCAGTTGGGTGAGACTTGCGAACATTGGCGAATTTCCCTGATGAAAGAGGAAATTGATGGGCTAAGCCTATCTTTCAAGTCGTTTGCCGTGGGAAGTTATACGACCAGCTATATTCTATTTTTCTCCATTGTTTTTATTGGTATTGATTTAAATTACTCATTTATAAATGGTATAATCAGTGCCGATAGTAATTATTATTTTATATCATAGGAAGAAATTAAATGATATCAAGGAGAAAGTGACATAAATATATCAAGTTCACTTTCCCTGTTTTATATCAATATTTCCTGATTTATTTACGGTTATTCTATACAATGTGTTTCCTTTTTTAGTTGAATGGTATCTGTCACCTTCCGCTCTCATTATAGTAGCTACCTATATAAATAACTTTTCAAAGCATTCAAGAATTCAATAATTCCAAACTGTATCAATTGAGCATTTTGAATTGGGACGAAGTGAATTCCATCAAAAAGCTTGCGAACCCACCAAATTTTCGAAATTAATCACAGTACTCATAATATCTATCACCGTGTATGTCGATAGGAATGTTATGACAGGGTTTTGAAGTACTCTTATACCATCTCAGAGCTATATTTATCAACAATTATAATATATTTGAAACAACGTGAACTTTATCGATACCCCACTGATGGATTCTGTCAGAGCTAATGTCTATATAGAGAGAGATTTTTTTATTTCTTGGAGCGCACGAAAGGAAACTTCAATGATGTTCGAAGGACATCGTGCGTACATAGGGAGGGGATGGAGAGGGGATTGGTGTTGAAATCATTTCGAACTTTTTACGGTTATGAATTCTTGGCAAAGAATTCCATATTTCGAAAAGGAAAGGATGGGTTGACTGGGGCCTGTCGAGTTCGTCTGAGTGGTATTGCTATAGTGATGGAATGAAAGCAGAGATTTCTGGAGGAACATCTCCCGTGGAGGTATCTAAATATATAGAAAAGTGAAAGGTAGCCCACTTTTCTACGGTGATCTAATGAAGTCAAAGTATTAGTGCGTGTGGCATCACCCACCATTCGAATATGGCTCATCTCTGGATGGAATCTAAGAGCATCAGAGTAAGTTACGGTGCTGAATACCATATGTGAGACAATATTCTGAAACTGGCCGTATCTGTGCTTTGTAGATCATGAGAAGGTGTTGAGGTGTTAAGTATAGATTTTCACACGGAATAAAAATCCGAGGTTTCGTTAACCACCTTTCGCGATGGAAATGTTTTTGTCATAAAAGAGTATTCATGAAGGAAATACCAAGGAACGATATAGTTACATCAGGCAAACTGAGTTTCGGCTTTTTTGAGAAAATACTCGCTTGAGTTTTGGTGGCCTTGAATTCAACTAGGTTGTTGGTTACCCAGGCTGTAATACCAGTCATTGACAGCGTTGACCTGCCTTTGTCGTAAGTTTTTCTTCTTTCTTTTCTTCCTGGGAAGAGATAGGAATTCTAGAGGACAACGCAACATTCGTCTGCAAAGCTATGGATAGGGTAGAAAGATAATAGTATTTCATCAAGTTCTATCGATTTCTTGAGTATCAGTCTCTCGAAATACGGACTTTTTTCTTCAATTTGGCCCCAATATGAGCCAGTTCATCTCATGGGATTCTCGAGGATTTTTTTGTGGTTAATGTCCTTCATATCTGGATATGTTTCTCAGAAAATGAGCTTGTCATGAATCGTGATTATAAGTGACATATTCTCAGTACTAATACTATATAAGTACTTCAAAATATTCGGGTTATACTTCGATAACTTGTTGCATATAATTACAAAGCGTGTCAGTTTGACAGATGAAATAATAAAACCGCGAAGCGAGAGGACTATTTTGTTGAACTGACACGATTTGTAATTATGCAGGAAATACGAGATATATAAGCATGAAGTTCGCATTGTATCAGAAGCGATTATTATTTCTATAAATACAAAAAGCTCAAAGTCATTTCCACACAATGTTCATAAAATGAACAACAATAGTAGATTTCGGGACAAAAACAATCACTTTCCTGAATAATGCCACGCAGAACATTGAAATACATCCTTCCGAAATATATGCATCGACTCGTATAAACGAATACTGATACAAGTGATTCTTTCCTGAATGTATGAATGTTCGCGTAAAAAGAGTTAATGGGGATTTCTTCAGTGTGGCACCAAAATGGACTAGTTCAGCACAAATGAGTTTTAGAGATTCTTTTGTGGTTGTTCAACATTTTTTGCAATATACAGAGTGACATTGATATAAATACAAATATTTCAAACCCCAAAAGCCGAGCCAAAAAAGTTCGACGTATACGTCACCTCTATTTAAATTTTCGTTCGTAAGGCAACATTTTACGAGGAGTTCACTCATTCAAATCGTCTTGGAGTGGCGTACTTGATTTCTTTTTCGATTTTTAGCCAATTTCCAAGACGAAATTTCTACTCAATTAGAAGAATAAGGAAAAATCTGAGACCATGGGTATATTCGTTGAACTGTATCGTATTGATTGGCTGAATATATGTATTTATTCCGAAAACACCTCGTATATTTATATGTTTCCTTATCAACTTTTTATATCAGAATATTCTTTAGAAAATTTTGAATATGCTATTTCGGAGTCGCCCCCTCTCAGAAAGGCTATACTCGTGTGTATTTTTCATAAAATCTTGCGGATTTGATATTTTTGCTAGTCAAATCATCTCAATTTCCACAAAAACCTTCTCATCTCATGAAAATACGCGATGAAAAGTTTTTGAAATTTTTCTTCTTTACTCGTGTGTTTTTTTCCTAACATTCTGCGTACTGGGTATTTTTCAAGTCGAATCATCTCAATTCTCACATAAATCTTCCTTATCCATGAAAATAAACGATGAAAAGTTTCTGCAAATTTTCCTTAGCTAGCAAAAATACCCTGTCCGCAAGATTAGGCAACATTGTTTCAATTTCAAACTTTTCACCGTGTATTTTCATGAGGTACATCGAATTTCGTAAAAATACCAGTTCGCAAGGTTATTATGAAAAAAAAACATAGGAGTAAGGTGTTTCCAAGTGGAACCTGATGGGAAAAAATTAAGAAATTCATCATTATCATTATTCCCTTAAGTGCGCACCAAAAGATAAAAATCGCCTGGTCGATGATCAGAATCCAGATATACCAGGTGACACAGGTGACATGTAACATCCTGTAGTTTTTTCATTTGGAGAGATGAAAATTCGGAATTCACAAGGGTTATATTATCGATGATGGCGCTTCTTTTGGATCCAATGCCAGTTTTCTTCAACCACCTGTTTGATCGGAAGTAGACCCAACTGTTTTTTTTAAATAGCACCCTGTATATTTCTGTGGCCCATCTTATTTGCCTTGAAATTCTCTACTCAACTATGTATCACAATTTTATATTCGTTCATTAATTGGCTGTTAAATTGCATTTCAATGACATACATGAATTGGCTGTGGATCGAATGCAATGACATTTCGATGCTTGATATATCATTAGTAAAGATTCCAGATCCAATCAATAATCAATATCAAATGTATGTATAAGTGCGCAAATTATGTATTTGAGTTGGACGTCCAGTTGATGTTTAATAGTGGACGTCCAATGGTTGTTTATTATTGGACGTTCGGATGAGTTTCTGATGAAATGCGTTTTTTTTTTTCAAGGATTTCATTCCTTTTTCGGATGAAAACAAAATAGTATAATCGGGATAATGGACCATGATATATATCAATAAATCAGTCTATTCATTTACATTATATATGTACGTACAATGGATGTACAAATTCATAATGCCCATTGTACATCCGTGTCTTGTACGTACAATAGACGTCCATTAAACATCCATGGACGTTTGGACTGAAGCTGGACGTGAAACGGACGTCCATTGGATGTTATGTGCTGTGTGGGATAGGATCAGAAATCCAAAGATCATTACTGAGACGAGATTATCAGAATATTTTCCACACCCCAATCGGTCCCAGAAAATTGCCAATAATTTCATTGAGTTTAAAAGAATCACCCGAAAATAACTCACGATATTGAGGAAACTAAGATAGAAACTCAGTTTTTTCCATTTGGCTACTTGTGAAGAAACAATTTGTCTTTCATTTTTGCCATGTAGCCATAATATGATCATCCATGTGGATACATGAACCTGAAATTGTTGTAATTGATGTATCGTTCTAATATCGTGAGTTATTTTCGGATGATTTTTTTAAACCAATGAAATTATTGGCAATCTTCGGGAACCGATGAGGGTTTGGAAAACATTATGATAATATCGTCTAAGTGATGATCTTTGGATTTCTAAGCCTATCAAACATCGAAATGTCATTGTATTCGGGCCACAGCCAACTTCATGTATTTCAATAAAATGCAATTCAACAGCCAATTAATGAACGAATATTAAAGTGATATACATAGTTGAATAGAGAATTTCGAGGCGAATAAGATAGACTACAGAAATATACGGGGTGCCATATGAAAAAAAAAAGTTGAGTCTACTTCCAATCAAACTGGTGATTGGAAAAAATTGCCATTGGGTTCAAATGTATATCTTCTCAATTAAACAAACTACAGGCTTTTATATGTCTCCTGTGTCACCCGGTATATTCATTGAAACAACGATTTTCTTGCTAATTCCAGTATGCAAATTATAAACACTCAGTTTGGTGTCTATACCACCCTCTACCGCCTCTACCACATAGTGACTTATCATTATTCTTACCAATTTCAAGTAGGCATTCGTTATGATGAGAGACCCCTTCTCATTCCATCTGCTCATATATCCGTGAACAATCATCTTCAGAGGTTTCGATACGTCAAACGTCGAATCGTTCAAAGACTTGCCGTTGTCGTCGTAATACAAGATTTCTGGTTTCGACAGATCAGGAGTTTTTCTTGTGAAAAGGTAGAACTTGGTATCAAGCATCTTGGGGTCTTCTGGTACTTTTTGCAGGGGCGAGTTCTTGTGAGGTAGATTGAAACAACCGACAGTATCTGAAAATCCATTTGTTCAATATCACGTTCAGTAAATAAACTGCTGATCAATCGAACCGCATCAAGCACATTTTTGCTCTAAATTCAACAATGAATATTTTCGCAAAAATTCCACTTATTCCAATGCAATTTCCTTTATTCTGAAGATTGAACCATTGGATATATGACAGATAGACCGCTGATGGAAATTTTCATGTGAACATATATTCGTGAAAGCTATGATTTCGATATACAGGTAGTTAAAGTATATATATGAGATTTCCTCAATGTTTTCCAATTTTCATCAACTTCAGGGCGATACACTTTCGAAGGTTGTACCCAATTTAACCCTCTGAATCTGGGGATGGTGAAGGAAAGAAACACCACAATTTTCATATGTGCATTCAATCTTTCATGTTCGAGTCGAATATATAAAAACAGATAGATTTCTGCATATAATAGTTCTGTTGTATATATTTTTCCAAAGCACGTTGCGTTGAATGCACATATAAAAACTGGGGTGAATCACTTCCAGATTCGGCCGCCACTGAATTACTTGAAGAAATAATTTTCATTTCATCTCATAGAGCGTAAAAAGTGCAGAAGGTATCTGTAAGAATTTTTGTTGATTTATCTCGAACCGTTTCGAACGTTTCATCAAAAAACAATATTTAGACTCGTATTTTCACCCTACATCTTAAAAATGACGCGTTCAAAAGTATATGTTTATACAATTTTTTCATATTATTTCAACGAGTACAGTACACTGTTGAAATTTTCCAGGAATAAAGTCTTACTTTGACCTGAAAAATAAATCCCCAAACTCTTGATATGGAATTTTGAAACACCCTGTATACCACCTTTTTGTTAATCTGCCAATTATTTCTCGTTATATTCTGCTCAAAGAGTTTGACTCGTTATACGTTAATGCAGTGCACCGCATTTGAAATTGATATTTATTCAAATGAGTAGATACATTATTGATAAAAATACTAGTAGGTATATCGAACATGGAGGACCAAAATGAAGAAATCAAATCATTTTTGCCAGAGGAGTATATGGTTGGTTAACCAGGCGACCTCCTTTCGTGGACACCCTGTATGAATTTCATAGTAACCTAGATGGTGCAACATGGGCCAATTACATAAATGAACATAACATTGAGATGAAGCTAATTTGAATAACACAATATTATTCGTGATACATTACAAATATTATCCTGGTGAAAGTTTTCATAATAATATTTATATATACTCACCTGTACGTATGAAAATATATACATTCAAAAAACTACTACATCTTGGTAACAATATGGTAACACTGCTGAGGTCAGTATCATATCCAGCGAATCGCCGAAGTTTGAGATATATTTCAAGGTTTCTTTACATAGTTTTATCTGATGGCATGTCATAATGACAACGTTATGTCACTCAATTTTGATGACATAAGGAAGCTCATTATGGGACTAAGTACCATAATGAAATTCTATAAGGAAAACATGTAATGGTTTGATCAAAAAATTTTATTCAAAATGCATAACTATGTACAAAACTATTTATTATAAATGGTGAAAGAACAATTACTACAATTTGTAATATTAATATAATGGCAAAGCACAGCTCACTCACCTACTAATATTTGAAACTACACAATACTTACTCCTTTAAAAATAGTTGTCATTGTGACATGTCGAAAATGCAGTTTTTAATTTTTCGAAAATGTATTGATATAAATGCCATCAGATAAAATTTTGTATGTAATACGAATTATAAACAATCATTATGGCACACGCCGTGTTATCGGACTCGGCTACGCCTCGCCCGATAACATTCACGACTTGTACCATAATGATCGTCTTTATGATCCTTATTACATAAATAACTATTATACACTTCAGGAATTAGAAGGGTAATTCCAATCTCTCATTTGAGGAACTCAAAAATGCTCTTTCGATCCCTCAGGGATCAAAAGTAAATAATGGCAATTTTTTCTCAAACGCCAGAGCAAAGATAATTCTGTGATAATACTAATAATCCTTATACGTTTCTAGAGTACTCGTACCAACCTACCTCTACGTGTACTAGAGAGCTGGATTTCATCATTTTTTGGATCATTTCATTTTCAGTGATTCCGTTCTGAAATGCAAAAAATAGTTTGTGGATCACAAAACTCAAGTTACTCTTATTCACTCAGAGAATTGTAGCTCCTCCGGTTGTGTAATAACCAAGTTGTTGAATCAAGATCAAAAGTGCCACTTTAGTCCCTGGGATTTTAATCTATACCTTTTTTTTATTTCGAGATGTTCCTATATGAAAATTCAAAAACAGTCCTTGAAAAGTTCATTGCCATCATTGATTAACTTCGTATCTCTCTAAAGGTCAGTTAGATTACGTAGTATATTTTTTGATTTTTCTATGTCTGGGAAAATAATATCGATGGTTGACTTTCGAATAATCAATTGAATTCTTTGGTGAATGATATAATAAACAAAGCGTAATCCCAAAAATTTGTTCAATTGCGGAAACTGCGTAATATTTTTGTTCTTCAATAAAGAATTCTGTCATCAAACATACACTAATTTCATGAGTTAGCTTCTGTGACCAATGACCTATTTGCGTTACCTATAATGAACATACTGATACGAATAAATTTCTATAGTAATTCATACATTTCGAACAAATGCAAATACCTACATGAGTAATAAATTACATAGTTTTTGTTTGCATTTCGAAATAGGTTAGTAATAATTATGCATTGCAGATAACCTTCCGAAAACCATCATTTGGGAAATATAATAATTATCGTTCGTTAAACCATCAGTGAAATTTGGTGAATATTTTTTAATCTTATGGGTATGGCAATTATTCAACACACATATATGGAATAATTATGAAACATAGTTTTGACATTCCAATCGATAAATATCTAATATGATGAAGGTATAAAACATTCTCTGTGTGTTATTCAATACGAAGAATACTTGATACTTACCTTCGAAATTATCGATATTGATGTAGGTGGATGGTGACAGATGCATTGCGATCTGATTAGATCTTTTAGGCCTAATCTTCCTCTGCTTTTCAAGAGTTCCTCATCATAGCAGCTTCAACCTCCAATTTCTTTGAGAATATCAAAATTAAAAACCTATATGGGATAATTCTTTCACAGCCACTTGGTATGATCCCAGATTTTTCAACTTTTCTAGATGTACAGCATCGAAATATGTTTTTTGGTTTTCCTTCGTAGAATCTGCATGTTGTCTTCCTTCAAGTCTAGCTTCCTTAGGTGTTCATTGGGTGCAAGTCCTGGAAGTTGATCTTTTCGACCCCAATGTGAAAACAAACCTATATTGATACTTGCACCTCTTCAACATTTTTTTGTAGGTTGGTCGGTTTTGCTGCTGTTCCATCTATCATGGTCTTCATTCATCACAGTATTCATCACGTTGCAACTCCGCGTTTTTTCCACAATGCTGCGTTGTCTTCTACACCATCATAGTGATGATTCTGTTCTACTGGTGATATTGCTTTAGAGGTTTATATTGTTGCCGAGAGGTCCTTTGCTTTTTCAAGCACCTATGCCACAGATCACCCAACTAACAGATGCGAAAATTTTGATGCCGCCTTCGATGTTCGACGGCTCAAAATTCGTAACACCACCAAATATCGGATGGTCACCAAAAACCGGAAGTTTTCATTTTCCTTGTGGTTCCATCATTTTTCAGCTGAATTCGAATTTCTTGACGTCATTTTGTAGCTAATGGACTATAGTATACAGTGCAATATTAGAAAATTCCATAATTGGAATATGCTCTAGAGCTGTCGCTTCTAAACAGGCAGCATTCCATCGATGGCAGAAATGTCTAGGCCCTGAGACTAGAGCAGAATATGTCGAGGGTAGAGGCATATGCAATGAGACAATTCGATCATCAAAGGATGCTCATAATGCCAAAATAAGATCAAAACTTGTTGAATGTCCTGACGAATCCCGTTCATTTTGGTCATTCGCCAAAGCTGTGGAAAGAAACTTCAGTTCCAGCTCGTTTCCTCCTCTAACCAAGGAAGATGGAACACTAGCCACAACTGCCTAAAAGAAAACCAACATCTTTGCGCATTTATTTGCTGAAAATTCCACTCTGGATTCATCTGGAAAACAACCTCCAAACATAATGCCAAATGACAGTCATATGCCCGAGATCACCTTTCGCCAACGTACTATATATAAGGAAGATTTTATTGGGTCTCAACACCAACAAAGCTTGTGGCTCCGACGGAATCCCACCGATTGTTCTCAAGAAATGTACTCCCGAACTAACACCTGTTCTCTGCACCCTTACAAATTGGGGATATTCCCGTCGAACTGGAAAATTGCAAGAGTACAACCAGTTCCTAAACAAGGCAAAAAGACCCTATCGACTACAGACCGATCGCACTGCTATCTATTATTCCAAAGATCATGGAGAAAGCTATCAACATCGAGCTTATGAAATTCCTGGAACATTCATCACCAACAATAGGCAATATGGCTTCCGTCATCAGAAATCAAATAGTGACCTGCTCGCTCACGTCCCACATATATGACAGCAATATATTGAAAAATATGGTGAAACCTCAGCCGTGGCACTTGATATCTCCGAGGCATTCGATTGAGTCTGGCACCACGGACTCCTAGCCAAGCATCCATCTTATGGATTTCTACTCCATATCAACGATATGTTGAAAGCAACTTCATGTCCAGCACACAGCTTCGCGGATGATAGTACCTTCCATACCGCCTTCTCTTCCAGGGCTCCAATACTAGCCAGGCAAATCAGAAACGAACGAGGGAGAAATGTTAACAACATAAATATGGACTTGGCAACAATTCTCGAATGGGGATAAAATAACTTGGTAGATTTCAATGCAAACAGTCAACAACATAAGCTTGTCAGGAGTAACCATACCTTTGAAGACATCCCTTTCGATGCTTGGTATTACTATCAGCAATAACCTTACTAGGGGAAATCACGTGAGATCAATGGC